TTTTGAGACAACATTTAAAAATCTGGAAATTTCACATTCACATCTGAATTTGGGGCTTTCTTTGGAAAAATTGGATGATTGGCATCGTTGGGTCTACATTCTGGCAGATCTCCACTGGCCCTTTAGATGGGACGTGGGCTCTCCAGCTCAGCACTGGGCCACCCCCAGGACTGGCCTCCCCTCCCTGCCTGGAGCCCCAGGCACTGACACAGCAACCCCACCTGGCCTCTGTCTTCCTGCCTCCTCTCTCTAGGTTAAAGGGCAAGAAGGGCCATTGACGTTGGGGTATTTACTTTGAGTCTCTTTCCTAAATTCTGAGTCACTGGAAATAAATCACACCTGGTTCTGAGAGTCCCACCTACTTGGGCCGGGCCTGATTTGGCCTCATCTCATCAAGCCAGACCTATCCTGAGCGGGCTTCGCATGCCAAGGCCTGGGGCACATGTAGCCTCTCAGCCTCTTGTTTCAATTTGCCCCAGGGGCCAGGCAGAGAGAAGCGGGGCAGGGTGGGGTTCTGCCAGGGAACCCCCAGCAGCTCGCCTTGGCTACCCAGGCAGGACCCAGGGAGCCCGGGATTCCCTGGGACAGAACTGGCCACGGGCCTCCGTGATTCCCGCCGCGCGGGAGGAGGAGGCGAGCAGCTCCTCGCTGGGGTGGCGCTGGCTGCCTTCCAGGCCACAAGAGGCCGAGATTCCCCTGAAACTGAGAGCTAGCGACACAGAAACAAACCAGCATGCTCCACCCAGGAGGCATTTCCAGAAATTGGGGCCCTGGCTTCTTGCTGATGAAATGCCAGATTATCCGGGGCCTCTCTTTGAGGCAGGGAGGTAGGGAGCGCATTGAGCAATAGGTGTTTTGTTTTGCAGATGACAAGATTTTCAACACTGAGAAGTTTAAATGATAAATACAAGAACCTTGACCAGCTCCCCACGCCTACCCTGGAAATGGCTGTTTTGAGCTTCAGTGCCTGGCAAATTTGTTTTCCACAACCTTCAGCTTCTCTGGGCCTCCCCCCAGCCCCAGCCACCTCAGGTCCCTGGTGCAGGAAGACCCTGGCAGGGCTCCCACCTGCTACCCGGCCACGAGAAAAGATGTCTTCAAAAGCACAAGTTGGCAAACCATGGCACACAGTTTTTGTCAATAAAGTTTTATTGGCAATACAGCCACGCTCATTAGCATTGGTCGTGGCGGCTTTTGTACCAGATTGGGTTGTTGCCACTGAGGCCACTTGGCTCACAAAGTGTAAAGTGTCTACTATAGGACCCTTGAAGGAAGCGTTAGCCAGCCCCTGCTCAGGAGGACCTGAAGCCTGCCTTATGCCAGGGAGGGTGGGGTCAAGTCCTAGTTTGGAAGGGCATCAAGGACTGGGAAAGCTCAGAGCATATCTCAGGGAAAATGAAGGCAGGGAAAGCACTGGTGTCCTGAAGGGAGACTGAGGGCTCAAGTAAACCAGCCCCCAAAGGTAGACCTGAGCAGCCAGGTTTGCAAACTGACCTGTGGCAGGTCAATAAATTAGCAGGAGGCTAAATCACTGTTTCTCCCCCCGTGGTGGAGAAACACAGACCCACAGCCGGGAAGCTCCAGAGCTCACCACCTGCTCATGTGTGATCATTCAACAGGGGTGGGCCGAGCCTGCATCTGTTGGCAGGTCCTCCTGTTTGGGGTGCTCACAGCAAACAAGGCGCTAGGGGCTCCCATTCTGGGGGGTAAGGAGCCGGGAGACAAAATGCACAGTAGGGAGTGGGAAGATGGGCAAAATGGGTGAAGGGGAGTGGGAGATACAGGCCGCCAGTTATGGAATGGGTAAGTCACGGGGCTGAAAGGCACAGCATAGGGAGTGCAGGGATGGTATGGCAGTAGTGTTGTATGGTGCCAGGTGGTAGCCACACTTGTGGGGAGCAGGGCATAAAGTATAATGGAGAGATTGAATCACTGTGTTGTACCCTGGCAACTAATGTAACATTGTGTGTCCACTGTACTTTGATAAACACACACACACAAAACAATAAACCAAAAAATGAGATTAGATCACAGTATGTAATACGCAGAATGAATGGGGCCAGGAGGTGTTTGTAGGGGAAGCACAGAGCTCAGAAGGATGAGAGGAGCTGTGAGCAGATAGAACAACTAAGCAAAGATCCTCAGGTGGCAACGTGTGTTGTGTGTGTGTGTGTGTGTGTGCGCACGCATGCTGGGGGGGTGGGCTTGAGGGATTGAGAAAAGGCAGGCTGGTGAGGCTGGGCAGTGACCAAGTGGAGGAATGGAGGCAGAGACCCCAAGGCTGGCTTCATCCTATCCTTGTCCCTAAGCTATGTTCTCTGTGAAACAAGAGTGGGCTTCTCCAAAGCAGCTGATCGGCGACAGGGTTGCTCGTCCCTGGAGGGAGAAGATGGACGGGCACACCTCCCCCTCCTTGCATTTCCCAACAGCCCTGTGGCTGAGAGAGACCCTTGCACACAAAGTAGGCTCCGGGAAGAGGGGCCTTCCGCTCACATTGACATGATTTTCGGTTTGGGTGTGAATCACAGACAGTGAGGCCGGGGCCCTTGGCTCAGGATTTCCTGGTGTTTCCTGCCCGGGAGAACAGTCTTGCTATCAGGGGCAGCAGCCCACCACTCCCTGACGTCAACTCTCCTTCCAATGAATGCATTTCCTTTTCCGTTTGGGAAGACCTGGTATCTGTCAGCAGTCCCATCAACTCTGCCATTCTAACCCTGGCACCTCCTGTTCGGGAAAGAGCCAGTGAGATTAACCAGAAGGCAGTGGGTGAGGGCAGGAGGGTGAGGGCGGGGCTCAGCGAATGGGCTTTCAAGCCAATGGGGAGTCTCAGGGGGCAAGTGCCTTCTGGTCCGGGGTCATCAAGGTGTGAGCGGAGGTGTGAGTGGAGAGCCCAGCAGCAGTAGTGTGGTGTCTGCCCTAACCGCCGGCCCTCCAAGCTGCTTGGGGCACTCCCACGCCTCCTCTCTGGGCCACCTGTGGCACCTGAGAGTGTCTTACCTCCTCTGCCTGTTCCCACGAACCCGCCCAGATGAGATCTCCTGGTGGAAAGTGTTTATGTTGTCATCGTGTAAAAAAAAAAAAAAAGATCGCTCAATTTCTGAAAACCATCATTCAAAATTTTTGCAACTTCTCAGTGTGCACGTCTTAGGGCAAAGTCACGGTTGCCTTGTTCTGGTTGTACCTCTGACAGTTTCAAACTAGCCATGAAGGCCAGAGGCTCTAGCTGTGTGGCTTCAGAAGTGACTGGGTCATTGCTTGCTGTTTATACGTAATGCAAATACTAGTTTAACTTACCATGCTGTAATAACACCGTGTGTTAGTCCGATTTATTTTATTTTATTTTAAAGATTTTATTTATTTATTAGAGAGAGAGTGTGAGCGGGAGCATGAGCAGGGTAGGAGCAGAGGGAGAGGGAGAAGCAGACCCCTTGCTGAGCAGGAAGCCCAATGGACAGGCAGACAGACCACTTGGGGCTCGATCCAGGGACTCCAGGATTATGACCCCAGCTGAAGGCAGACGCTTAACCGACTGAGCCACCCTGGTGCCCCAGTACAATTTATTTTAGATCAGAAATTCCCAATGGGACAGTACTGTGGTTGTTTGTCTCACTTAATCCCTTACCCGGGAATCACCACCTAGAAAAAGAAACTGCCAGTTCTTTTCAGGATGGGTAGGATGCTCCTGTGGTCACCACTGAGCATCATGGTGCAGGCATTCAGCAACTTGACTCTGCAACCACCCCGTGTCCCAAGAGCTGTGCAAAAACGGAATCATGCAATGGATGGTCTCATTCTAGTTACTGGAAATTAGGAAATTCGATGATTCACCACTTCTAACTCGGAAGAGTTGAATCGAATTCCACCTTGTGTTTGTAACGCTATCTAAACGTAAAGGAAAAACAATCTGAAATGCTTGTTGCTTGTAAACTACTTGGAAATTCTTGAATAGCACCAAATAGCCAATGTTAGCATTTTGGTGTATTTACTTTCAGTCTGTCTGTACACAATACTCCTTCCAATTTTTAATTTTCCCAATGAGATAAGCTCTATACTACTCTTTGAAAATTTGGATTTTACACTTCATGTCATTAAACATTCTTCTGGGACATAATTCTTTATGGATGTAGGGTCTACCAACATAGTGATGCACCGTTATTTATTTCACTATTTCACCAACTTCCCCACTGTTGATTCCTTCCACTTTTTTTTTGGTTATTGTTAAATATTTTATTTATTTATTTGATACAGAGAGAGAGAGAGAGAGGGAGAGAAAGAGAGAGAGAGAGAGAGAGAGAGGCCCAAGCAGGGTGAGCGGCAGAGGGAGAGGGAGAAGCAGGCCCTTCACGGAGCAGGGAGCGCGATGCGGGGCTCAATCCCGGGACCATGCGATCGATCGTGACCCGAGTGCAAGGCAGACGCTTCACTGACTGAGCCCCTCAGGCGCCCCTGCTTCCACATTTTTGATATCACGAACAATGCCAAGATGAACATTCTTGCAGGGCGCGTGTAACTGACCTCCTTGGGATACCTGAGTGAACGTGGAACGCGGAATGTTTTTCATTCCTTGAGCCCTCACAACACCCCCTGGGACAGGACAAGTAGGATGTGACGAGCTCCCACTGCTCTACCGGTTCCCCAGTCTCAGTCCGCGTGGGGCGGCCAAGGAACCCCACGTTTCGGATCAGAGTCATTCCCCGCCCTCAGGACCCTGCAACGTCACTACAGGAGGTGCTCCCGGCTCCACGGACGCGCGGTCCTCGGCTCGCAGAACCGTACGCTCCGTGGCCTGCCCCGCGCACCTGCCCGCGAGCTTCGGTGCTGGGCGTGACCCGGTGGCCGCGACGCCAGCCGGCTCGGGAGCGTGGAGGTGGGGGGAGTGGGACGGAAGAAGCTCGGCTCGCTGCGCCTGCGCCCTGCGCGCCGCCCGCACACCTGCGCCCGCCCCGCCCCCTCCCCGTGTCCGCGAGCGCCGGTGTCAATAAAGTTCTTGCGCGCCGGAAGCGGAAGCGCCGAGTCTCCATGGCGGCGGCGGCGGCGGCGGCCGCGGGGCCGGTGCTCTGGAGGCGGCTGCTGGGCCTGCTGCCTGGCCGCCCGGGGCTGGCCGCGCTGCTAGGGCGCCTGTCCGACCGCCTGGGCAGGAACCGGGACCGCCGGCGCAGGAGGTGAGAGGCGGCCGGGCCTGCCGGGGCGGGGGCGCGGCCGCGGCCGCAGCCCTGCCTCCCCTCCGCGCCGGGGGTGCGCTCACGCGGGGGGCGGGCGGGGCGGGAACTGAGCGCGGGCTCCCCGGGCCCCCCGGCGGCGGACGTTGGAGGGGCTGTGGCGGGAGACGCCGCTAGCGTTCCGAGAGGAGATCTTTTCCTTGCCGGTCCTGGCAGCCGGGTGGCTCGGCCGGGGTGAATGAGCCCGGCCGGGATCGTGTGCGTGTAGGGCTTCGCACATCCTGCGGGAGAGGGCTGTGAAGCAATCCTGAGTCAGGGACTCTCGGGCCAGGGAAGAGGAACCACTCGGAACCCCCTTCACACTTTTCAAAGGGCCTGTGTTCTGGAAAAGTACTGAAGTGAGTTATGTAAGTGGTGGAGGAGGCTTTGAAGCAGTTTGTTCAGGCAGTGGTCTTTCAAAGTCAACATTTGCCAAGAACATGCTGACCTAAGAGGCCTGTTGTTATTGCTAAGGTTACAGGGGAAAAAAAAGAAAAAATTTCTTGTGTGCAAATGGTTTTCTTATCAGAGAGACTCAAGCCTTACACTTGACCCTTTAAAAGAAAAAAATATCGGATCTTAGACGTGCATCCTTTAGAAGAGTTTGCATTATGTTCGATTTTATCTGTGCTGCTTGGGTGAGGTGGGACCTCCTGGCTTTCGTGCACAGATCTGTGGTCCAGTCATGTGTGCTGTTTCTCCTTATGGGAAGGAACTTGCTTCATACTGGGTTACAGTGGATGATTTTCGGCAAAAATTCGACTTCGGTTCAGGGTGACTTTTAGGTGATAGCATCCGTATGGAGCCCTTCAGAAGCTTGCTGATCAGAATGGCGTTAAGTTTCACACCAGCGAAACCCGGTGGGGGCGGGGCCGGGGAAGAGGTGGCCTCTGCATTTTCTGTAGTTGGTGCTTAGCCAAGACCTCGCTGTTGCAGTGGGTGGTGAAATCAGATGACTTCTACATCTTGGCATCAAACCACTGGGAAATTTGGTTTAACGTTTCAAGAAATGTTCTCTCCTCAAAGATGATGTGTTCAGGCAATTTTGTCATTTCCCTGTATGTGTTTAAACGACAAAAACCACTTCATTGTTAATTGTTTACCATTGGAATTAACTGCTAAGGGATGTTGGGGCAATCTCCACAAATTCTTTTGAAAAAGACGTTTCTCTTGAGTGTCTTTTTCCGGTGGTGGGGGGCGAGGAGCAGTGTGGCAGTGGGAGTAGTCTAAACTGACTCTCCAAAGTCCTTTTTTGTAAATGGCTGTGGTAGATGTGGCACCGTATTTCTTTTTGATGAAGCTGAGAGAGAGTTGTATCTCTGGGTCAAAAATTAAACCAGAAACTCACTTAAACACAAGTTTTGTGTTTTGTTTTATTTATTTTTAATTTAAATTCAGTTAGCCCAACATATAGTACATCGTTAGTTTTTGATGTAGTGTTCATTGATTCATTAGTTGCGTATAACACCCATTGCTCATCACATCACGTGTCCTCCTTAATGCCCTTCATCCATTTACCCCATCTCCCCAGCCACCAAGTTTTGTGTTTTATTTATTTATTTAATTAATTAAAAAAAAAAGATTTTATTTATTTATTTGACAGAGAGAGACACAGCGAGAGAGGGAACACAAGCAGGGGGAGTGGGAGAGGGAGAAGCAGGCCTCCCATGGAGCAGGGAGCCCGATGAGGGGCTCAATCCCAGGACTCTGGGATCATGACCTGAGCCGAAGGCAGACGCTTAACGACTGAGCCACCCAGGCGCCCCAAGTTTTGTGTTTTAAAGAAATCTGTGGGTGCCTGGGTGGCTCAGTCAGTTAAACTTCTGCCTTTGGCTCAGGTCATGATTCCAGGGTCCTGGGATTTTGCCCTCGGAGTGTGCTTTTCCCTCTACCCCTCCCTCCCCTGCTCATGTTCTCTCACTCTCTCAAAAATAAATGAAATCTTAAAAAAAAAAATTTGTGTTTTATAATCCTTAGAACGGTTTGCTAGGACTGAAGATAAGTGCTTTGACCAGTGCTGTTACAACGCTGTAGCTTTCTGACCCCCCCCCCCCCCCCTTGCCTTATTCGGTTATTCGGTCTGCAGATTTACCCGACTCTGTGGCTTGGGGTTTGGGATTTCTCTGGTCTGTATGGCCATTCATCCTATATTGGCTGCTGACTTTCGTTTCTCCTCCATTAGTTGTACCTCACAACTCCTCATTCCCCGAATGGTGTGGTTTCTTGTAACTCTGATTGTTGATAATAGTTCTGTGTAGTCATGAGCTTAGACTTTGTCAGATTTTAGCTTGCCAATCTGACTCACCTGTTGGAGTACCTGATGAACCCTCGTGGCTAACGAGAGGGGTGGAGAGAGGGTACTTTCATTGCAGTGGTTTCTTTGTTAGTTACAGAGACAGCCACAGTGACAGAGAATGCTACTTAAAATTACTTCCAATTAGTGATCTAGAAATGCTGTTGTTTTTCTCTTGAGCAGGCATCTGACTCATTATCACTTTGGACCTCTGGGCTCATTCCTTTATTCAGCATGCGTGTGTAGAGCACTGCTGTGCTGGGTACCAAGGAAGCAAAGATAAAGACCTCGCCCCATCTTCAAGATGCTCAGACCCATAAGCTGACAGTAATAGTAAGGTAAGGTAGAGGTCATGGCAGCACCTGAGAGGCACAGCAGGAGGTCACAGAAGTCTTCCTGGTGGGGGTGATCTCAGAGCTGTGTTTTGGAGTGTAGGAGTACGCTGGGTAAAGAAGGGGGAGCTGGTGTTCAGGGAAGGGTGGTGAGTGGTGTGGGCTGATGATTGTGGCAGCAAAGGTGGAAGGCAGTTCTGAGGTGCTGCAGGTACTCAAGTCATTTCCAGGAGCCGACTGGCGGTACTGAGCCAAGGGAGGAGCCGGGAGCAAGTTTGTCCTCTGGGCTGACACCCAGGGAGGCAAGCTCTGAGATTGCTTGTTCAGTTTCCTTGGATGGTGGTCTAGGCCTGAGGTGTTGCAGAGTGGAAGGGATTAGAGTTAGCTCTGGTGGGGGACGTGTAGAGGGACTTGGGTGACTGCATGGGTGGAATCACACATCATTACAACAGGGTTAAGAAAGGACTGGGCTTGGGGGGGGTGACGATAAGGTGAGTTTGGGTGTGTTAACTAGGATCCAGGTGCCTCTGAGTAGAGGTGTCAGTGTGTAGCTGACCGACAGATCTGGAGCTCGGGACGGGGAGACAGCACCGTAGGTGGTGTTTAGGAGTCCTCAGACTCCACGGAATTGACTCGTTTGGAGTAGATGGGACTGAGTGGGAAATGTGTCAGGAGGGCAGGAGTTCCTAATCTTGAGCTTGCCTGCCCTAGAAGGAAGTATTTTCTTTGTGGCCTCCTCTAAAAAACCCAAACAAACGATTTTCAGCTTGAGCTATATGTGCAGAAAGGGCTTTATTATTGAAACTCAAGTCCTATTTTCTCTTCGAGGTGTGTGTGTGAGTGAGTCAGTGAGTGTGAAGGGGTGAGGGGCTTCTAACTTTCCTGAGTTATAAGAGGGAGACAGACAACCAGAAGACTGTTCTTTCAGTTAGGTATCTGATGTCATAGTGGCAGGTCGGCATACTCCAGTTCAGCTTGTTAGTAGTTTCCGCTCTGAGGGACCACATTTCCAGAAATTACTTCTTCTTTGAACTTTGTGATGCTGCTTGCTTGTTACAGGTTAGTAGAGCCATCTCTTGGCTTATTTATAGTAGTAGAATGGGTGGGAGGGGGATATTTAGAATCAAAGCATAATTTCCCCAAATAATTCAGATTTGATCTTGCAGGGATTGGAGTAAGATTTACAACAGACAGGGACGCCTGGGTGGCTCAGTCAGTTAAGCGGCTGCCTTCAGCCCGGGTCGTGATCCCAGGGTCCTGGGATCGAGTCCCACATCGGGCTCCTTGCTCAGCAGGGAGCCTGCTTCTCCCTCTCTTTCCCTCTGCTTGTGTTCCCTCTGTCAAATGAATAAAATTTTTTAAAAAAATTTACAACAGAGAGATTTTTAAATTGTAGCTTTATTTTATTTTTTTAAAGATTTTATTTATTTGATAGAGAGTGAGAGAGCATGCACAGGCAGGGGGGCGGCAGGCAGAGGGAGAAGCAGGCTCCCCGCGGAGCAGGGAGCCAGAGGCGGGGCTGGATCGCAGGGTCCTGGGGTCATGACCTGAGCCGAAGGCAGACGCTTCACCGACTGAGCCACCCGGCACCCCAAATTGTAGCTTTATTGAGTTCATATTAACATGAGTACCCCCGGAACACATTGCGTCTGGTGATTAATTAGGCTGGGTCAGTCAGTTGTGTGCTCCTAGAGAGATAGCAGCTAGCCTGGGATTAAAGTGTTCTGATAGATAATCCACTTGTAAACATGTGATCTGATTCATGTAAACGAGTTCTTTTCAAGGCTGCTGGGAAGTACTGTGGGTCAAAGCCTTTGGATTAGTAGAAAGTGTGATTGGTTCTCATCAGGCACTTTGCTTTGCCTGCTGCTTGGGCCCCCTGAGGTGTATTGTGGGTTATGTTAGCTTTCTGGCCCCTGGATGTGATCGATTTCCTTTTGGGCAAGTCAAGAGGACAGTCATCTGGTCAGCATGTAGTCAGATGCTGGCAGCCTGGCCTCCCATGCTGGACTTCTTGTGGGAGTTCAGCGGGCGGTTGGTCTTTTGTAACCTACGGGAATTCACACTCACTTCCCTTTCTTGGACTTGGTGTTGCGTTAGTCAGGAAGGGCCGCCTGCTGCCGGGGACGCAGGAAGTATGGTGCCTTCACGTAGTTTGTTGAGCTCTTCTCAGGAAGTGCTGTGACTGTTACTCTTTTCTCCTTAGCTCACTTTCTGACGTTTAAATGTTCATGACTGAGCGGGGAGGGTGGGTTTTTCTTAAAAAAGTAGTTTCTGAAAATATTGCAGTCCACAGAACTTAGTTTCTTTTAAGAACTTCTTTTTTCATCGTTTTGTACAGAGTTGGGTGGGACCCAAGCCACAGAGCTTGTACCACGAATTTTATCTTATAGTTCCAGAAGAGCTCATGGATTCAGAGCATGACGGAGCCCATAGCGGGGGCTGCTTAGTTAATGCCCCAAGTACGGTACTGGACAGAAGGTAGAACTTCAGTACTGTCTGTTCAGGATTTTTGCTTCGTGTAGGAAGATGGTCCTCCCACATCACTGTGTTCTTTGTTCAGAGCCCAAGGTGCCACCTTGTGAAAAGACCCTAAGAGGTTGGCCAGCTTGCTTTTTTTTTCCCCACTGGGTGGTGGGTGACACTCTGCGGCCCCTGGGGATCAGACCTGTGTCCTCTGAGGGGGAGAGGCCTTGGAGGGGATATGTAAAGGTAAAGTGTAGACCTGGGTGTAATTATCTAGTATTTGCCTTTCCATTTCTTCTTCTTCTTTTTCTTTTTTTTTTTTTTAAGAGAGGGAGGTGGGGAGTGGGTAGACGAAGAGAGAGAGAGGATCTTAAGCGTGCTCCACACCCAGCACGGAGCCTGACATGGGGCTTGATCTCACCAACCTGAGATCATGACCTGAGCTGAAATCAGGTGTCAGATGCTTAACTGACTGAGCCACCCAGGCGCCCCTGCCTTTCTTTATTGGCATCTTGCCACTGGCCACAGAACTTGGTTGGACCTCCAGGCACATTGTTGCACATCCAGACAAAGGAAAAATGCAAGGTGTGCCAGTATTTTTCCATGGAGCACATGCAGCTTCAAGATGTTTGGTGAAATGGAGAACTCCTGTCTCCCCACAAAAAGGAGAAATACCTTCTTTCCCCTGAGGCTCCCTGTGTCAATAGCTGTGTTTGGTCGTGTCTCAGTGGCTCTTTTGCTCTGTTTCCAAGTGGCTGATTATTCTGAACTCGAGTCCCACTGCCTTCCCATGCCTGGCAGGAGGGGTGGGCTGCCCTGTCCCACCTAGGACTGCCCTGGGGGTCAGGTAGGCTTCCACTGTCTTCACTTAGTGGTGGCCCCCCATCCAGGGGCTCAGGGACAGGAGTATCCTTAGTCAAGGCAGTTCAGATGTGGATTTCTCTTAGAGATGGTGGGAAGAAACTTCCCTCCCCTCCGTGCCTCCCTCCCTTCATGCTCCTTGTGCCATCCTAGAGTCACCCTGAAGCCTTCCCATCACCCTGTCTGCACAGGTCTCTCCCTGGGTAGAGGAAGGGCCCCAGGCCAGGGGTCTTCAGCACTTAGACCCAGCCTGCCGCCCAGTGCAGGGATTTTGCAGATTCCACAGGAAGCCTTAAATCCTGTGGCTGAACTTCAGAGTCAGGTGTCCCATGGGTGGCCGGAGCCTGTCCTCACAGAGCCCGCCGGTTCCTCTCACCGTTAGAACTGTCGGCTGGGGACCGGTTTGCATTGTTTGCTGTTGCCGCCTCTGCCACCGGCTTGCCTGAGCGTCCCTGTGCGCTTGCCCTGGCCCTGTTCTCCAAACTTCCATGATATTCCTGAGCCGCAGAAGCTATTATCTGGACCCCTACCCCCCACCACTTCCTCTTCTTTGTAACTAGAAACGGGAGCTGGATGGTCCTAGAAAGATGATTCAGGGGAGTCCAGGTCTAGATGTGGAAATTGTGTGTGCCCGTTTAGTTCTCTGAATGGCATGTGTGACTCGGCTCTGCTTTTTTGGTGAACTAACCACAGCTCCTCAGATCTCTCGGGGCTTCGGTTCCTGACCTGGGACGTGTGGTTTCTTAGTAAGCCTCCCTGGGGTGAGGGGACTTGCCTGTGCAGGTGGTCGCCCCTGGAGACTGGGGTGACTGTACGGTGGGGTTGCTGCTAGCACCGGGAGCAGCCTTTTCTGGGAAGATTCCCAGGAGTTAGGTTGTGGAAAGCAGGAACTAACCCCCCCTGGACTTCTGGCTGAGGCAAAAGGAAAAAAATTGAGCCTCTGAGCAGACTTGGGCGTGGCTGCTTCTGCCCCGGCTGAGGCACTCCAGTTAGATTTTGAGTGTCACCCTTCCAGGTGTGGTCTCCCCCATGCCCATGCTGTCACTGGGGGGACCTTCATAAAACGCTCTGCTCCTTCTCAGAGCGCCTTCCTCTTCGGGTGTCTAAAACTGCCGCTCAGGGTTGGGTCTCCCCCTCCACGACTCCCTGCACCTAATTGGCTTTCAGCACCTTCTCCTCTCTAGCAAAAATGAACCTGTCAGTACACAGATGAAACAGGAAGCCAACATAAAAAAGCCCTCAACAAATCTTGGACGGAGGCCCTGGTGGAGCATTCCCAGGGAGAGCTGCCTGGCAGGGATGAGGCCTGCCCATGGCCGCCCGGGGCCCTGAGCCCTGCCCGCCGCAGCCTGCCCGGTGCGTCTCCAGGGCAGGCCCGGGCTGACGGTGGGCCCTGGGTCCTTGTGTCCTCCGGACTGGCTGTGGAGACCCTCCTGGGCTTTCCCGTGGATGGTGGTGCTCGCCAGCGCCCATGGCTTACACTTGCTCAGCCCCCTCCTTGCCTGGAGCGGCCCCTCCGCTCGCCCTGCCTCATCGCTCCAGGGAGGGTGTCCTCAGTCCTCCCCGGCTGCTCGGTGCCGCCAGCTCCCCTTTCCTGTCACTTGAAGCACACGTGCTGCACATTTCAACCTTTAGTTCGTGGTGGCATTTTCCTCTTGCATCGTTCTTAGATGGTTTCAGGTGTATAAGCCTGTGAGGTCCCCAGGTTCGTGGGGGGCCGGGCTGCTCTTGTGCCCCCCACAGGACAGAACAGTGCTCACACGGTGCCTGGGGTCATGGCCCGAGCTGGCACTTGCCCTCTCTGGGTCACTGTGTGCCGAGGATGTGTCTCCGCAGCTTCCTTTTGGGGAGCCCATTGGAGTCTCCTGGCCCAGGGGAAGGATGCGGGACTGACGGCGTGGTGTTGGGGGGGGTGGGGTTTTAGCGGTCGCCCTGGTTCTTTTTCATATGGGCTGAGAGAGGTAAGTGCCGTGAGGCTGGGAGATCCGTTGGTGTGGCGCTGCTATGGGGTTTTCCACCTCAAATAGACCATGTTTAATTAATGAATATTAGACTTTAAGCCCCCTCTGGGGCTTCAGATTGATAGAGTGTTGTGCTGACTTTCCCATTGTCTCGTGGTTTTCCATTGGACTGAAGGGTCTTTCCCTCTCCTCCTGGAAGTTAGCTTTGAGCACAGCAGGAATAAGGCCTACAGTTTGGGAAATCGAGGCAGCAATCCCTAGTTTACGTGTCTAAGCCTTTCATTTGCAAGCTGCTGTTCATCGCCTGGAAGCCAGAGAACCTTAGCAAGCTGGTCCCCCCAAGTGCCATCACCCCCTCTCTGAAACAGCGAGAAAGCATAGCTGCTCTACCCGCTCTGCACCGTGGGGCCCCAGGCCAGCCCCTGGCTTCCCGGGGTCTAGAGAGCCGCCACCTTCAACCGTTGACTAAAGTTTTCTTGGCAGTGAGTCGGCTGGGACAGACCAGTGGGCTTTCTGGGAAGCACAGCTGTGGGCCATCTGGTGTCTGTGTAGGGACATTTGCGGGGCCCTGGGAAGATTCTGCGCTTGATCATGAGGCAAGTGAATGAAGTCATCTTCCTGGAATCTGTGACCCTTCAGGCCTTGGGGTGTTCAAGTGCCCTTTCCCCAGAGTCCCTCTCTGAGCTGCAGTAGAAGGGCACGCACTGCAGAGGATTTTCCTGCTGCTGTTTGCAGGAATTGAGAATAGGGCCGGGCTTGTGTGGGGCTCTGGGTGTGTTGCCCCTCCCTGGGCCCATGGAACGGGGGGTGGCAGCCGGCGGGCAGCAGACATGTGGTTCCACGGGCAGGACCTTGGTTGCTGCTGTCTCTGTCTTGAGTGGAGTGGAGCCGGCCGTGGGGGGCGAGGGGTGCAGCTTTATGTGGCACGAGCCCCAAGGACAACGTGTCCAGGGCTGAGGGGGCAATTCTCGCCACTGCCGAGATGGTCCCCCCTTCCCTCAGGCTCTTCTTCCTCCAGTTCTCTCCACAGCTGAGTATTCAAGAGAAAACTTGGTTTTTCTGGGTCCTTCCCTAAATAAAAGTCTCATTTATCTCCGCAGCCCTGCAGCTGGGGGCCAGGGTTGCAATGGTCCCCCTCATTCCAGACTCGCCCTGGCTCCAGGTGGCTGCCAGTGGCTTTCTGCAGGCCGTTTTGGTGCGGCACCCTGGTGTTAACCCACGCGGTGGCTTCTGTGAGTTTACTTGTGGCTGCTCTAGATTTGGAGCTGTTTGGAGCCAACTGCAAGTTGGGGTTTAGCTATAGGCATAGGCACTTCTCAAGTTGCTCAACTAGTAGGGGCTGAAGGAAAAGCCCTTTTGCAGAGTTTGACTTGGGCTCACTTAAAATGGTCTAGAGAATCTGAAATTGCTTAAAAAAAAAAAAATTCCCGTTCCCCTCCGTCCCCCCACCGGAGCTGAGGAGACTTCTGAGTAAGTGTTGGAGAAGTATGACCCTTTGCGTGTCTCTTTAACCAGGTCACCATGGCTGCTGTTGGCTCCTTTGCTGTCCCCGACTGTCCCCCAGATCACCTCCCCTCCTTGTTGCCTGTGTCCAGAGGGTGTGCACAGGTTCCAGTGGATCCGAAACCTGGTCCCAGAGTTCGGGGTCTCCAGCTCCCACGTCAGGGTGCTTTCTTCCCCGGCAGAGTTTTTTGAGCTCATGAAGGTAAGTTGTGTCCACGGGAGAGAGGGATGGATGCTGGAGTTAGAGGCTTGGGGGCCTGAGGCTGGGTGAGTCCTGAGCAGAAGTGCCTTCTGTTCTGGAAGTTTCTGATGGCTGCTCGGCTTCTTGCTGTAGGTTCTTCTCCCTGTTAGGTTTCTAGCCTCACAAATGCTTGAGTTGTGCTGTCATCAGAGGCTCCCCTGCGTGGCTAACGTCTCAGGTAGAGTAGCTCAGAGTGGGTGGGCAGTGAGGGGCAGCTCCTAAATTTTGATTCTTATGGACAGATGATTCCGTCGGTTCCATCGGAAGGGAGGTGAGTGAGGGCGTGTGGGCGTCCCTGCTAACGATGTCCGGGGAGAAAGGAACCTTATTCTAGTCACAGCACGACAGACCCCTGCCCCTGCAAACATCTCCAACGTAGCGATTTCGTCTTGGGAGGCAGGGCATACGGGGAATGAAGACCCAGCTGGGACCCGTGGATGAGATTTGATGTGTAGGAAGTGGTTGAATTCTCTTGTTCGGTGAAGAGGCTTTACGGATCACTGGAAAAGTTGGACACCTGGTTTTAGGCCTTATCCCTCTTCTTTCCTGTGCCTTTCTCTAAAGTTTGTGCCTTCTCTGAGATGCTCACCTTTGCATTTGGGGGTTGAGCTTTTAGCACTCAGGTGTTTGTGGCCCATCTAGTTACTTGAGGTGAAACTGCTAATTGGAATAAGTAATTTGAAGCCGATTAATTTTTTTTTTTTAAACTGCTCTTCTGACTGAACTGGTTCCTTATTTTTTTTTTAAGATTATTTATTTGAGAGAGAGAGAATGAGAGATAGAGAGCACGAGAGGGAAGAGGGTCAGAGGGAGAAGCAGACTCCCTGCTGAGCAGGGAGCCTGATGTGGGACTCGATCCTGGGACTCCAGGATCATGACCTGAGCCGAAGGCAGTCGCTTAACCAACTGAGCCACCGAGGCGCCCCCCGATTAATTTTTTTTTTAAAGATTTTATTCATTTATTTGACAGAGACACAGCGAGAGAGGGAACCCAAGCAGGGGGAGTGGGAGAGGGAGAAGCAGGCTTCCCACGGAGCCAGGAGCCCAATGTGGGGCTCGATCCCAGGACCCTGGGACCGTGACCTGAGCAGAAGGCAGATGCCTAACTGACTGAGCCACCCAGGCGCCCCGAAGCTGATTAATTTTTGTTAACATGAACCTTGTGGGTTCAAATTAGCAACGATGTTTGAATTAAGGTATGATGAGGTCAGACAGGCAGAATGGTGGTAGATAATAGGAAATACATGTAGAGATTAATTTTTCCGCAGAATGAACTGTACTGGATTTGAATACTTGTACATTCTCCTTTTGCCCTGTTGTTCTGTAGATCCACACTTAGCTTAATTTCTGACTGGCTCTTTCCAGAATGCATTCTGCATGTGTGTGTTTGTGGCTGTCTGTTTACGTGTACTTCCCACTTCCCTGCACTGCTCATCCGTCCTGTGCATCTTTTTTGTGGAGAACCGATGTTAAAGTGGTTTGCTCTTTGCTCCTACTTGGTTCTCTGTTTGGCTTGAAGAAACAGGTTTTGCAGAGGCAGTTCTTTGTGTTCTAGTCAACTCCGGGTGAAGGACTGGCTGCGTCTCTGTGTGGCCATCCCCGTCTGCAAACCTGCCTGGGTGGGGCGGTGGAGGCAGGAAGGGCCCCAGGGTTTGGCCCAGCAGGCTGGGAGGAAGCCCATCTCTCTTGCCCTTTGAACTGAGTCCGGGGCAGATTCTGACGCCGGGTTTGCGCTGAGTGGGATACGTGTCTTCCCCGGGCCCACAGAGCAGCCTTGTTCCCTGAGAGGGGGGTGCAGCCTGCCGTCTGCCTGGCCTGCGAGCCCTTGTCGCAGTGCCGGAGCCGAGGTGCCCTTTCCCAGAGTCACTGTTGGCTCCGTGTAATGGCATTCCCTGCAGGCATCCGCTTCCCAAATAACCAGACAGAGGAGACGGTGGACTTGGGACATTCTCTTGTGCTTTCCTGGTCTGCAGGCCTTGTGCCAGTGTGTTGGTGTGTTTCTGTGGTCAGGGCACCCCTCCTGTGCAGGCTGTGCGGGCTGTGGGTGCCGCATCCCTCCCGGGTCAGAAAGCAGGTGTGTGCCCTGCTTTCTGCCTCCCTCCTCCCTCGAGGCCTGGCCCTCCTGCCTCTCCTTCCAGAGCATGACCTTTGGCATGCTGCCCGTTTTTCTCTGCCTGTCACCCTCCTTGGGGCAGGATGCTTCGAGCTCTGGAGGGTTTATCGTTCCCTACGCTGGAGCAGGTCTGGAGCGAGCACTCTGCCCGTTGGGACTGAGGTGACAGAGTCATCTTGGAGTGCTGGTCTGTTCTGTCCTTGTGCCTGGGGACCCTTCTGCGTTTCAGAGGAAAAACGTGCCCGCTCGTTGGGAAATCCAGCCACGTAGGTGTGGACGGGGGCAGAGCGGCCTGCACGTTGGCTCTCGCGCTCCCCTCCCCTCCTCTGCCCCTCAGGGACTACGCTCTCGTGCCCTGCACGTGCCCCATGTGACGCCCCCGGGTGGTTTGCACCCGGGGCAGCGACGGCTTCCACCCCAGCAGTAGGCTGTGGAACACATGCCTCATTCTTTGGTGGCTGTGTCATGTCTCGTACAGTCGGGTCGTGTCTTTCAGGGGGGTATTTTTTTTTTTTTTTTATTTGACAGAGAGACACAGCGAGAGAGGGAACACAAGCAGGGGCAGTGGCAGAGGGAGAAGCAGGCTTCCCGCCGAGCAGGGAGCCCGACGCGGGGCTCGATCCCAGGACCCTGGGACCATGACCTGAGCCGAAGGCAGACGCTTAACTGAGCCACCCAGGGGCCCCAGGGGGAGTATTTTAAATTAGTATCGCGGGTCCTTATTTGGGCGGTTACCATCAGCTTCAGATACCAGAAGTTGGGCCCGGAGCATTACTTGTTAGGTTTCCTCGGTGAGCTGTGGAAGCCATGACTGTGACTTGTTTCTTCTCTTTTAGGGCCAGATCAAGGTGGCCAAGAGACGCGTGGTGATGGCGTCGCTCTACCTGGGGACGGGTCCTTTGGAACAGGAGCTGGTAAGGTTTGAGGTGGGGTGGTCCCCACGGCAGCAGTGAATTGCCCTGCACCCCCGGCCACATGGCGCCGTAGAGTTGGGGTCGAGCCGCCTTGTCTTGGCCCTCATCTCACAGCCGCCGCTGGGGGTCGGCCCCGTCAGGAGGGCCAGTGAGGGGTGCGGGGGGCGGCGCTCATCCTCGCTCTCACGTCCTCCCCACCGTGCACTGGGGTTCCGAGGCTGCTCTGTCTGCCGGTCTAGGGCTCAGCCAACTACGGCCCGCTGCCTGTTTTTATATGGTGTGTGGGTTAAGAATGGTTTTTGTGTTTTCAGATGACTGGAAAACAATCAAAAGGAGGAGAATATTTATGATACAGGAAAAGCCTGTGAAATTCAAATTTCTGTATCCATAAGTAAAGCTTTATTGGAACACAGCTGTGCTTGCTCACAGATGTATTGTCTGCAACTGCTTGCTTGCCGCAAAGGCAGAACAGAGTAGTTGTGACAGAGACCCTCTGGCCCCCAAGCCCCAGGATATTTGCTGCCTGGCCTTTTGCAGAAAAGATTTTCTGACCCTGTACTAGACAAATGAACTGAAGCGCAGGTCGGGCTGGGTTCAGGTGCCAGGTCTGTGGCCTGCCTGTTCCCCCTGGACTTGGTGTCACTCCACACTTGTCACCTGTCGTGAGATGGGCAGGGTGGGAAGGAGCAGACACCGCCGGTTTGCTTAGGGCGAGCTTCGTGCGGCGTGAGTCCAGTGCATGCTCTGGTGCGCGGGCGTTGTCTCTAGGCTGACTTAACATGAATGTGGGTGAGACTCTTGGGATGGCTTTCCACTCTGAGGCTCTGAAATGGGCCTGAGTGTTTCTTGGGTTCCTCTTTGTCTGGACACCCACAGGTAGGAGCCAGGGATTGGGTGCAGAGAGTGGTGGGAAGGGGGGGTCAGCAGAAGCACATCTGTCCTCTCCTCTCCCTCCTTGGCAGGGAGGTCTCCCTCTGTCTTCAGGACATGCTTTTAGCTGCAAGCTTGGGAAGCCTGTTTGTTCTTCTGAGAGAAAAATGTCATGTCCAGCTCATGGAGAGTGGCCCGTGGGCAGGTTGTGTCTTGGATTCATTGGTTCAGCAAATATTTACCGTGCGCTGTCCATGTGTAGGCACTGTTTGCTGTGTGTCTGTGGGGATTGTCTGTTGAAACGTGTGAGAGCTCGTGTCTTAGAGAGCCTTTCCAAGAGTGGCAAGGTCCAGAATGCTTGGGCATCATGTCTCTGACCCATAGACCCTCTCTTCCTGAGAGGCCCGGCTGGACGAGGGTGCCACGTGGCACCTTATGGTTACTGTTACTGGTCTCAGAAGAAGAAATCTCATGGTATTGACTCTTGAGTGCTCATGGTCCATATGTGTGTTCCAAGAGGATGTGGGGGGGGGGGGCGGCGTTACCTGGCAAGTTGATCCTTTTTTTTTTTTTTTTTAAAGTAGGCTCCACACCCAGTGTGGAGCTCAATGTGGGGCTTGAACTCACAACCCTGAGATCAAGACCTGAGCTGACAACCAAGCCGACAACTGACTAAGCCACCCAGGCGCCCCTTAATCTGTTCTTTTAATACATAATAATCTTTTTCAGTCTTATACTTCTGTTCTTTTGGGGTTCTTTCCTTGATAGGTGGATTGCCTGGAAAGCACTCTGGAAAAGTCACTCCAAGCCAAGTTCCCTTCAGACCTCAAGGTGTCCATCCTCTTGGACTTCACACGGGGCTCAAGAGGTGGGTCTGGTGCACTCCCTGCCTCTGACGTTTCCTTTTTCAGAGCCCTTGTTCAGGAGTACACTCCCCCCCCAGCAAAGGCAAGGATGTTTGAAGATAGCCCCCAGACTGCCTGAGTTGTCCATCAGCATTCCTTCTGTAGCAAGTGACTGGAAGCTCAAGAAAAAACAACTTGGGCAAAAAAGAGGCAGTTTTCAACTCCCATGACTGACCTGCTTTGGGTGGGTCATGATCTGGGTGTTTGGCTGGTCACCAGGACCCATCTGCTGGCCCTCCTCCCCCTTTTTTTTTTTTAAATTTCTGTGGTTTTATTTTTATTTTTTTTTAAAGATTTTATTTATTTGACAGAGAGATATAGTGAGAGAGGGAACACAAGCAGAGGGAGTGGGAGAGGGAGAAACAGGCTTCCTGCTGAGCAGGGAGCCTGATGTGGGGCTTGATCCCAGGACCCTGGGATCATGACCTGAGCTGAAGGCAGATGCCTAATGACTGAGCCACCCAGGCGCCCCTGGCCCTCCTTCTTTTGGGCTGGCTTTATTCTCAGGCTCCATGTGGTGGCCTCTGGAAGCCCCAGGCCCATCTGGCCATGACATTTTGTCCATCGGAAGAGAGTCTGCTTCCTGAGGGTCAGACCGAAGCTCCTGAGTGGCCTGCCATGGGCCACGCACCGGGGCTGTGCCTGCGCCGACTGGCCCAGTCCAGGCCTGGGTGCCCTCCTGTGGAGCTGGGGTGCGAGTTTAGGGAGGGTAGAGCCATCATTATCCAGAGTAGGAATGCCAAGAGTGGAGTGGGGTGGTACCCCTAGGAGGAGGTGGGGTATGGTTCCCAGGAGGAGGGTGAATGGGTGCTGGGTGCTAAAATGGCAGATGTCTGCTGCCCTGACCGCCCCAGTCTTGTTCTGAGATGTGTCGGTGTCCAGAGCAAAATTTGGTCTGAGGTCCTCCGGCTCGCCATGGTGCCAGGGGTTCTGGCTGATTTGGATGGGCAACGCAGGCAGATGTGGGCCCATGGTAGGTGGTTCCGCCCCAGCAGGCGCAGTATCTTCTGGTGTGCATCGCCGGTCCTTTTTCTTTTGCTCACCCCTGTATTTAGGTAGGAAGAACTCCCGCACAATGCTGCTCCCGCTGTTACAGAGGTTTCCAGAACAGGTTCGCGTCTCTCTCTTCCATACCCCTAACCTCCGTGGGCTTCTCCGGCTCCTGATCCCTGAGCGCTTTAATGAGACGATCGGCCTGCAGCACATTAAAGTGTACCTCTTTGACAACAATGTCATCTTGAGCGGGTGAGTTTGTTCCCTTCCATCAAGGGCTTCCCCTTAATATCGTCCAGGGTGGAGGTTAGCGGAACACAGAGAAGGAACGTGGTCGTACGTTTCTAGTCGAGGTGTCATACTGCCTCACTGTCTTCCGGTGGTTCTGGCTGTGGCCACCGGAAGCCCACCCGGGGTGCTCAGAAGGGTGCCCTGGCTTCTTGAGCACTTTCTGGATGCCAGCCACTCTTCTGTGCCTGGGTGTGCTGTCACAGGTCATCCTCGTGGGGACCCATGTAGTGTTTTCCTCACTTAGTGCGCAAGAGACTAGAGAGGACGAATGACTTCCTTAGGCAGAGCCAGGAACACGGAAGAAACAAACCGCAGAGCCACCATGACAGTCCAGGTCCTTTTGATGCTGAAACTTGGGCCCTGGAGATGAGCCCCGGGGGGTAGTTGGCTTTATGAGTGTCATTCTTCTCCCAGCTGATTGTCACCCCAGGGGCGGGGCTCTGTGGCTCCCTCCTTTGTGTCACCTCATGCCACTTGTGCCTCGTATGAGTGGCCACGCTCAGGGTCTGCTGCCGCCGTGGGGTCCTGACCCGTGTTTGTCGCCGCCCTGCTCCCGCTTACTCCCAAGCACCTGCTGTCACACCCTCTCCAGCCTGAGTCCTCACCTGGCTCTTTCCTCCCTGCAGCGCGAACCTGAGCGACTCCTACTTCACCAACCGCCAGGACCGCTACGTGTTCTTGCAGGACTGCCCCGAGATTGCGGACTTCTTCACGGAGCTGGTGGACGCAGTGGGGGACGTGTCCCTGCAGTTGCAGGGGGATGACACGGTGCAGGTGGTGGAGGGGATGGTGCACCCTTACAAAGGTACGGTCCCGGGCTCTGCTGCCCTCCCAAGCTTGTGGGTGGGGGTGAGGGCTGGGGGAAGTGCACCTCTAGGAGTCTTGCTTCGGGCTGGCGAGACTTGGGTGGCAGAGCCTCATTCTGCTTTTGTCTCTGAGGCCAGACAGAGGTGACTCACTGGCCACCAGTCATGCTCTGTGGGTCCTGGGAAGGTGGGAGTGTGGGCTTCGGCCTGGGCCTGGGGGAGGAAGCCAGGGGCCTGCCCGACACTTACAGGAAGTAGCCTGCTGACTGACTGCCCTCCCCAGGGCCAGTTCCCCAGTGGGGAGCACGGAGGCTCTGTGGCTCTCAGCTCTGCTGAGGTCTGTGGCCTCCTGCCTGGAAAGTGAAATGGGAGAGCCCTCAGCTTTGCTCCCTGGAAACAGGCAAACCCTGGCAACTAGTGTTCTTGGGGGCATTTGCATTCCTGTGATTCCTGCGGCTTCCTGGTGGCCTTTGGGAAGGCCTGCTGCTGAATTTGCAATAGTGTCAGCAATGTGGGGAGGGGTAGACCCTGACCTTATAAGGAGAAGAGCCCCTGTCCTGGGTGCCAGAGGAGCCCTAGCCCTGGAGCCAATATGTGATTGGGGTACCTGTCCTGCCTGCTGCCACCCTGGATCCTCAGTTATTATTATGATATTTTGAATTTTTATGAATAAAAAATTTGTGGAAATTTGTTTTCTCTCATTATATGAGTGCCTGTGTATTATCCTCAGTTTTGTTGTTTGGTTTGCAAAGCCTGAAATACTTAATATCTGGCCCATACAGGAAACACTGGCCAACCCCTGGTCTAACTTTACAGGCCAGGCATGAATGTGCGGAGAAGTAGGCCCCACGTTCTGGGAAGGATGAGTCAACATGCTCAGGGGGCAGGTAGGGGCGCCTGGGCAGGCGCAGATGTACTCAGGGGACCAGGGTAACTCAGAAGGAGTGAACACATGCAGGGGACGCTCGTGACACTCAGAAGGACAGCCTGAGACATGATGGGGCCGGTGGCTGCCTCCTCCCCCCGTGGGTGCTGCTGTCAGGGAGGGAGGGTTCGCACAGGCCATCCCTTCTCCTTGTCCCTGAGCCCACCCCCAGAGGCCCTCACGTGCGGCCCTGTCCCCAGCTGTGAGTGCGTGAGTGCGTCCTGGTCCTCTTCCTCTTTGATTCTGGCTCAGCCTTCCCCGAGACTTGCTGTTTGCTCCGCTTCCTGGAGGGCCAGCTCTGGGCAGTGTGGACATTCTCTGTTCTCCCATCATTGTCATTCTGTGAACCTTGCTCTTCGCCTGCTCCCTGCTCACACTGTGCTTTTGGTTTTATCCTCACTTCTCGGGTTGGATGCTGGCTCGTTAGTGTTCAGGCTTGTCTGCTGATAGCATTTATGGTCATTTCTCGTCCGTCCAGTGTGTCTGGACAGCTGCTTGTCTCCAGTGTCTTGTGTAGACATGCAGGGTCCCAGCCTGCCTGTCCACGTGCTGCACCTTGGGGGCCCCGCTCCCACTGTCCCACCACGTGGCGCTTGCTCAGCCCACAGTCGTGTCCATGCTTTGTGGCTCACACTCACATGTACCTTTATTGTTAAACCTTCTGGCTGAAGTACATGCTGAACACCACCCGTAGGCGTGCAGTTCACATGCGTATGCCTCGTGGGCCAGCTCCTGGAAGCGCCCTCTGGTCCCCTCTCAGGCCCTGAATCCCAAGGTTCCACTCCCTTGATTTCTGTCGCCCTCAAGTAGTCTGGCCTGTTTTTGAACTTTGTAGGGGCACCTAGCTGGCTCAGTTGGATTCATGGTAGAGCAAGCGACTCTTGGTCTTGGGGTCGTGACACACATTGGGTGTGGAGATGACTTCAGAAAAAATCTTTAAAAGAACTTTTCATAAATGGAACTGGTAGAGGCCTTTTCATGTTTCTTGGTGCAGGCTCTTCGTAGCCTTTCCTTGGATGTTGATATCCACGGAGGAGCCTTGCTTGGAGCCTGGGGCCAGTGCTCCATCGGAGCATGTCCGTAGATGGTCAGTCAGGGCGTCTGCACTTGCCTGTCTGTTGCCATGTCCCCGTGCAGGCAAGAGTCCAGAGCCTACACTTTTTCTCCTTCACCCTTCCCTCCCGTGTGTCCCCACAGGTGACCGGGCTGCATACTGCAGGGCGGCCAACAAGAGGGTGATGGATGTGATCAACTCGGCCAGGGCCCGCCAGCAAGTGTTGCACGCCCAGACCTTCCATGGCGACTCCCTCTTGACTCAGGAGGACGCAGCAGCTGCCGGGGACCGGAGGCCAGCCCCTGATACCTGGATTTACCCATTGATCCAGATGAAGCCTTTTGAGATCCAGATTGACGAGATCGTCACGGAGACCCTGTTGACAGAGGCTGAGCGAGGAGCCAAGGTCTATCTCACCACTGGCTACTTCAACCTGACCCAGGCCTACATGGACCTGGTCTTGGGCACGCGGGCCGAGTACCAGATCTTGCTGGCCTCCCCGGAGGTGAACGGCTTCTTCGGAGCCAAGGGGGTGGCGGGGGCCATCCCGGCCGCGTACGTGCACATCGAGCGACAGTTCTTCAGTGAGGTGTGCAGCCTGGGGCAGCAGGAGCGGGTCCAGCTGCAGGAGTACTGGCGGAGGGGCTGGACGTTCCATGCCAAAGGTATGCAGTTAGCGCCGGGCCCTCCTCCTCTCTCGTCCTCCTGGCAGCCGTGTGCACGTGCCACCTATTGAGAGTTTCAGTTGCCCACATTTCTCCCTCTCGTGCTCCCAGAACTTAACACAGATGACGTGGGTGGCTGTTTCAGGAAGTGTGCATGGAACTTCTCGGGGCGGGGCGTGGAGAGGCCCCTACCGTCGCCCTCCCTGGTCAGTGGTCTCCCCTGCATCGCTGGGCCCTTTTCAGGGACAGAGGATGTGTTAGGGATGAGTTATTTGGTGTTGAACATCCTGGTTTTTCAGTCTTTCCCTCCGCACTGTGGTCTTTTTCCTCTGTGTGAATCCTCCGCTTTTTTTTCATGGTTGAGGAAGTCGAGGCCACATCCTTTCCGTTCTGAGCCGAACGGCGCTGCCCATATGTGGGTCATGGTCTGAACTGCATGTGGATTACGACCCCCACAGGCATCGGCATCCCTGGGGCAGCCCGCACAGGCCATAATCCCAGGGCCGAGGTCTGAGACGGGGATAAACGGGTTTAAAACCTTGTGCTGAGCAGAGGGATTATCCCCGCTGCCGCTCGCTATTTTGAGGGCACCTGCCTCTGGGGCGGAGTCACTCCTGATGCTCCAGGGGCCACACGACTGAGCGTAGTCCTGTGGCTAAAGAAAAGTGACTGGTGCAGAGAGCCTCTGGCCATGGGTGATGTGTGTGGTTTTTCTGGCTTCTCTTTGGTGGTCAGAGGCTGTTTTGCTCCTGGGCTGGTCTTGGAGTCTTGCAGAAGGGCTGATGGAGGCGGGGGTGGTGTTCTCTTGGTCTCTGGTCTCTGCCTGGGAGTCCAGGCTGCAGACGGCCATGGCCACTTGTCTGCGTTGTTTAGATCTGAGGTCATTTTGGGATCATTGGGTGGGTGGAAGTCTTTTTTTTCCTCACATCGGTGGTTTTCACCTGGGGATATGTTAAAAGAAATATTAAAGCCCAGACTGCCCTCCTCAGTCTCTTGAATCCGGCTCTCTGGGGACAAATCCAGCATGGTATTTTTTTCAAAAAACAAAACAAAACAACTCCCCAGGAGTTTCTGAGGTCTTAAGAATCACTGATAGAGCTTCTGGCCTCTCTGGTGGTTCCCACTTCCTGCTGGGAGGCCCACTGCCTGGGCAGGTGGCATTGTTGGGTGTGGGAAGTGAACTACCTCATTGTGCTGTTGGGCTGAGCCAGGCAGGTGGTCAGATGCCTCAGGGCGGGTAGGGCTAACCGGTGAGGAGGTGTGGAAAGTATTTTAGGATTGGTTTTTTTTTCCTTAACATATATTGCATTATTTGTTTCAGAGGTACAGATCTGTGATTCAACAGTCTTGCACAATTCACAGCGCTCACCATAGCACATACCCTCCCCAATGCCTTTCACCCAGCCACCCCATCCCTCCCACCCCCCACCACTCCAGCACCCCTCAGTTTGTTTCCTGAGATTAAGAATTCCTCATATCAGTGAGGGCATATGATACATGTCTTTTTGGTTTTTTTCCTTATGAGAATAGTGAAGGTGCCTGGGCACGCGGTATTGAAGACTGAGCTGAAAGGTGGGGGAAGCTTTGTTCTTTGGAGGGGACATGTGTCTAGGGAGCAGTGCAGGGGACGCCTAGATAGCACTTCCTCCTCGACCGTCCTGGGGCACTTGGGGCCCCCCAGCTCAGCCTGGCCTGATGGTTCTGATAGGGCCGTGGGTTATTTCCCTGAAGCGGGCAGTACTGATAAGTGAGCAGTGACACCCCCCCCCCCCATTTACCGTTGAAACAGAAACACCCAACCGGCTGTTCCAGTGTGGCTTGCCTATTCCCGGACGGGCATGCTTCTGCCCCGCCCCAGGTGGGGCCATGTACTTTGGGAGCACTGGATTAGTGGGGAAGGCCAGGAATCCCAGGGCATGTGTGCCTGTGTGTGTGTGTGTGTGTGTGTGCGTGCGTGTGTGTGTGTGTATGAGAGTGTGTGTGTGTGAGAGGGAATGGGGGGTGTGGTATGGGAGCAGGGGGGCCAGGAGTCAGAGGTCAGAGGTCAGTCAGTGCTGAAGTCAGAGGCCAGGGTCCTTTCCTGTGATTGAGATCGATAGTGGGGGGGGTCCTTAAGTTGGCCCCCATTTCTGGTTCATTCCTGGATGCTCATTCTCCCCAAAGCAGCCTCAGAGAGGAGCAGGCAGCCCAGGTGGTGGCTGGGGTGGATGGTTGGATTTACTGACTGTCTACTCTCTGCAGGTGGTGTATCTGTTTATTCCTGCTGATGGCTGAGCACCCGATACCCTGATGGCCTTACCCACACTCCTGCAGGGCAGGCCTGACTTATCTCGGCTCCCAGTGCTCCCATAAGCCCTTGGTGAGGAGAGTGAGCCGGGATCCTGTGTTCGCAGCGTCCACATCCTTGTGGCTCTAACAGCACTGTGCACCACCCCTGCAGTCAGTCAGGGGGGGACTCGGTGTTGAGCCTGCTGGTGGCCCCATGAGTGAAGAGATGCAGGAACACTCTGCGTGGGCCCTGCCCGTGGGAAGCTAGCAGGCTTGGCAGGAGGCATCCTCCTCATGGAAGTGACCATACCGGGCAGCAAGTGCCAGTGGATAGCAGCTCAGCCCGATGGCAGGAGGTTCCGAGGACTAGGGTGTATCCTTCAGTCCTTCCCCGCTCATCAAGGATGGGGGTGTATCAAGCGGTGGTTCAGATGCCTCGTTGGAAAGACCTCGTGGGAGGTAACTCCTGTGGAGGAGGCAGTGATTCTTATGTTCGGTGGGCTACTGAGTAGAGGCATGTCTCACTGGAGTGCTTTGCTGATTGATGCCTTAGCCAACTTCAGTATTTGTAATTTTAATGTTGTTTCGAAGTACTAGAGAAACCTACTATTTAAAGGCATGTACTCTAGAGACTTTTGCAACGTGGTCTGTTAAGTTTTCTTTGGGTTTTTGCAAAGGCCGCCTATTCAGAATGCTGAGGGAGGGGAGCCCCTTGTGCGTGCGATGGGCTGGAGAGGCCACCAGACTTGGATTCTTGAAGCCTAGTTTTCAGCCCAAATTTACCTTTGGCAAACGTGGAGGGACCTGGTCCAACCTCTGTGTGACACGGGGCGATGGTATTGGTTTGCCCTCAGGTGAGTACGGTGACCTGACGTGCATTCTGTTGGGGTTTCTATGAAGTGTCCAAGAGGGAGGTGGCCCTGGGGGCTGTGGGGTGGGCGCTTGAACACGCAGGGCCCAGAGGCTCATGGGCTGCAGGTGGGCTGCTGGTGGATGGGCTCGGAGGGGGGTTCCTGCGTCTCTTGGAGAGGAGAGGTGTCCTTGTCACCTGTGATTTTGTTGCTGCCTCCCCCCCCCCCCCCGTGGGTCCCTGAAGGACGCTGCTGAAGTTGGAGGTCTTAGCTGCATCTTCTTGACCTCTGGAAGGGCAGCTGGGGGGCGAGGTGGCTGGAGGTCTGTGTTAGACACGAGTCCGCCAGCAGCCCCTCAGGTTCGTGCCTGGGCAGTTTCCTGTGGCCTGTCCCCCACTCCTTTCCCCATAGGTGGGGTGCAGTGAGGCTCTGTGAGCTGGAAGCACCTGGAATGCTGCAGGACGGTCACCTGAGTTGGTGCTGGGTGTCTGCATTTTTTTTTTTTCCATCTGTGCTTTCGTTTGTTTTGCATTTGGTGCCCAGCACAGCACTTCCCAGCTCGTGTAGTTACAGTTAGCCTTTTAAGTGAAGATGTATACTTATTTTATGTATTTATTTTTAAAAGACTTAGTTTCTTTCTTTTTTTTTTTCTTTTTAAGATTTTACTTATTTATTTGACAGAGAGACACAGCCAGAGAGGGAACACAAGCAGGGGGAGCGGGAGAGGGAGAAGCAGGGCTCCCGCTGAGCCGGGAGCCCGATGCGGGTCTTGATCCCAGGACTCTGGGATCATAACCTGAGCTGAAGGCACACGCTTAAATGACTGAGCCACCCAGGTGCCCCTAAAAGACTTAATTTCTTTAGAGCGGTTTGGGGTCAGAGCAAAATTGAGGGGAAGGTATAGAGATTTCTCACACACTGCGCCCTACTCACGCCCAGGCTTCCCACTGTCAGCATCCAGCAGCTGAGAGTACGCTCGTAAGTGATGAACTGACATTGACACACTGTCATCCCCCAGAGTCCACACTTTATATCTAGGGTCATCCTGGTGGTGTGGATTCATGGGCTCATGCGGGTGAGGACATATATCTGTCATCACAGTGTCACACAGGCTTTCATTGCCCTGAACATCCTCTGTGCTTCCTGTCCGTCCCTGACTCTGACAGTCCCATATTGTCACTTTTCCCAGAATGTCATACAGTTGGACTCAACACTGTAGCCGTTTCAGACTGGCTCTTACACTAGTAATGGGCGTTTAAGGTTCTTTTTTTTTCTTTTTTAAAGATTTTATTTATTAGAGAGAGAGTGAGGGGAGGAGCAGAGGGGGAGAGGGAGGGACAAGCAGATTCAGGCAGATTCCCCGATGCAGGCTCGATCCCATGACCCCAGGATCATTACTTGATCCGAAAGCAAGAGTCAGCGGCTTAGCTGAGCCACCCAGGCGCCCTCATTTAAGCTACTTAAACCTTACGGCTTTTCATGGCTGGATAGCGCTTTCCTTTTAGTGCTGAATAGCATTCCCTTGTCTGGATGGACCACAGTTTATTCATTCATCCACCTATTGAAGGACATCTTGGTGGCTACAGGGATTCACCTTTTAAACCTGGTCCTGGTGGACAGTGGGGTCTGGGGCCAGGTGCACAATGGCTGTCAGCGGTTGTAAGCACTGTATCTGTCACGTGCCAACAAACTGACCTCTCTAGGTCTTGGGGAGGCAGCAGTCCCAGAGGAGCCTGAGTGGGGATGACAGATGTGTCTCTTGGGCCTGGTTCTCATGTCTCCTGCTCCCTGGAGAGGAGTGGGCCTGAGCTGTGCCCGGTGCCGTCGCGGGACTTCTGGCTGGGGAGGCACACAGCCCCTTGGGGCAGGGGCCACATCCATGCTGGGGGACGTCTCGGGAGGATCAGAAAATGAGCTTTGAGGTGTTGACTTGGATTTCATCTGGTACAGTACCCTAGCACTAATAGCTCAATGTGTGTGGCCAGGGCGGGGCAGGCCATTGGATTAAGAGATTTCTGGCTCCTGCTGACAGAGGAATCTGTTAATGATTGTGAGAATTGTCACTATTTTTACTGCTTTCCCGACAGACGGCTTGGCATAGTGCCCAAAGGTGAGCTTGCAGTGCGAGCCGGGGCAGCTCCATCCTGCGTGTCCCGGGCACACGTGCCTCCCCCGGGCGCCAGCAGGTGTGCGCTGGGGCGGGGCCGCACCTGCACCAACTGCTCTGCTGGGGAGGGGGCAGGCCCGGCCTCTGGAAGTGGCCCGGAGCGTAACAGGCAAGTGCTTAGCCCTCTGAGGTCGGGACTATGGTGTCTCCTGTCCCCTTGTATTTTTATAGGGGTCTGAGAATCCTCTGAAATTTGTCGCGGAATATTGTGGCAGAGGTGAAGGAGGGGGGCATAAGTCGACATTTTTCTTGGAGAGAGCCTCAGGGAAGTTCTCTCACCAGAAATAGTTGTGAGCTCCTGCTTTAGAACTCAAGAGTTTTTTGTATTTAATTTCATCATCGTGTGTTGGAAGGTCACCATTAGCCTCATTTATTTTGTTCAAACAAGTATTTATGTAGTGTCTGCCGTGTGCCAGGCAGCATTCAGGGCATTGGGTACCAGTCACTGGGGACCAGACAAAGCCCCTGCCCTCCCCAGGCATCTGTCATTTAACAGGAAGCAGATACAAACAGATGAATCTATTCTAATATAAGGTCAGGTAGGGAAATGGGTTATGTAGAAGACCAGAGCGGGAGGAGGAATCTGGGCCGATGGGGGTCTGTTAGATTGGGGGGGGGGGGGGGAAGGCCTCTCTGTGGAGGGGACACTCGCTGAGCACAGACCCTGCCTGGAGGGTCCAGGTGGAGGGCCCGGGAGTGTGAGGCCCCGAGACCATGCTAGGCATGGGGAGGAGTGAAGGGGCAGGTCGGGAGGGAGGGAGGGAGGCCGGAAGGCGGCCGGGCCATGGGAAAAGCTCAGAGGACTGGTGAGGGAGCTCTGTGGGAGCCCTTGGGCCACCTGGTTTACCCTGCATCGAGGTGCTGGGACCGTGTGGAGGAGGGACCATAGGCGTGGGCAGAGCACAAGAAGTAGCCGGGGCAGGCAGTGAGGGCTCTCGTTGTGGAGCTGGGAGCCTGCAGAAGTCTTGGGACTCAGTTCATCTGTGTATCCCCAGCGCGCTCCCTCTGGGGCTGAGGACTGCCCACGGCCAGTCCCCTCCCAGCTGTTGCTCCTGCTGCGGAGTCTCCCAGTCTGGCGGGTCCTAGATTGGTAGAGGTGTTGGGCACAAAGGTCAGGCCCTGGACTTGATAACAGGCTTATGGCCCTGCTGGGAAGTTCGAGAGCCCCCGCCCTGCCCCTCACCCTCCCAGGGTGCTCAGGCTCCCAGCGAGGGATGCACCCTCTTGAGTCCCTCCCTGAATGAAAGTTCTGGGCTGTCCTCCCGGCCTAGCCCAGCAGCAGAAACGTCCCACCTTTGGGGAGCTTGCACTCTGAAGGGCTGGCTGTTCATGGGGCGGTGTGTCGAGCTCCTGGGGCACAGCACCACGTGGCCTCAACATCAGTGGTCTTTATGTCCTTTTGGATGGAGAAAGATCACAGTCCACATTCTACAGGGGAAGTGGTGGGGCAGTTGCGGGCCTCACCGAGGCGGCCAGTAGGTTCAGAATGTGTGCTGCCCACACCCGCACATGCTCTCCCGAGGCCAGCCTGGGCCAGAGATGAAAGCCGGAAGAAGACAGGTGTCTGCCGTGCCTCCCCAGTGGGGTGATCATGGCAGGTGGGTGCTGGGAAGCTCTTGTCTCACTAAATGTAAAGCCCAGATACATCTGTGTAGCACGTGGACATGTATCAGTGAGAGAGAGCTTTCCTTTGGGGCTGGGGTGCAGTGGTGCGGACAAAGACCTGCCGGTGTGGGCTGGGCCTGGGCCGCCTGCCTCTCATGGCTGGCCCCTAGGTTGCCTTGTGAGGAAGAGATCTACATTTAGGCAGATTTCAGAAATAAAAAATACGCCTAAGACCAGGTCCTTTCAGTCTTGCCCAACAGGCCCTGTGGTCCAGGAGCCTTGGATGGACACACCGAGGGTGGCATGATTCACATCAGCTTTAGCCCACATCAGCCATGTGGGTATCGGGCCTCCCTGCTGTGTGCGCACTCTGTCCCTGTGTAAGTGGACTCTGGAGAGCTGGCTGCGCGAGGAGCACTGAGCGTCTCCGGTGCTTTTGAGTCTTACAGATTGTGACATCACAAGAGTTGGAATAGCAGCGGCCGGTGGAAAGCTCTGAGGCTGGGGGAGGTCTGCCCCTGGCCCTGGCCCCAAGCCTCAGGCTCTGTGCAGAGGCAGGGTAGGAGAGGCTGAGCCTAGCAAAGGAGGAGAGCCAGCACTGCAGTGGTCAAGGCTCAGCCATTCTGCCCAGACCTCCCCGGGCATGTGGAACAGTGCCCGGGGCCAGCCGGCACACCCCCGTGGTCTCTTGATAGGAGATAAGGTGAGCCCCACGGTTGCCTACACGGCAGTGGCCCCGTGGGGTGGTACAGTTGACTGAACGACATGCACAGGCAGGCAGGCGGCTTTGATGTGGCCCCGTGTGGGGGGTGAGGGTCGAGCACATTACAGGAACAGACAGCAGAGCATCGTCATCTCTTACCCAAGGTATTCTTGGAAATGCTCTTGCTCTGAGTGAGAATTAGGAAATGGCCTTCTATTTTAGGCTTCTTGGTGTGTATTACATGCTGTTGATTTGCTCATGATGGTCATGTGCGCCTGTGGGCCCTTTGAAAGAGTCATGTTGGCAGAGGGGAGACCAGCGGTGGTGGGAGGGCATGAGGAGGCTGGCTCTGATCAGGGGAACCTTGCACGGAGCCGGGGCCAACTCCGGCACTGGACAATAGGCTGGGTTTTCTGGGCTGAGCGTTTTTGGTGCTAGTGAGGGTGTAGTGTGGTGGAAAAGACAGAGGCCGGACCCAAGTCTGGGCTTCCCTGGGAGAAAGGAAGTCTGGGGCAGCAGATGTCCTGGGAAGGTCAGGTTTTGGGAGTAGTCTGTTTAGGAGAAGTAGTTGTGATGGGCACTGGACCGTGCAAGCAGGCCTTGGGACTTGCGGGGAGGGGACAGAGTGTGGGGGACCAGGTGCACAGCAGACCCACCTGCCTGTTGTCTGTTTCAAGGGACGGGTTAGGATTCTGAGACAATCCGCAGCCTTCACGGTGCACATGTCAGCATGCTGGGGGACGAGGCAGGACTCCGTCCCCCTACCCCGTGGCTGGTCATACCATGCCCTGCTTTTTGTCTGGCTGTGCTGTCAGCCGGCTCATTTCCTAGCAGAAAAGGGGAAGTGGTGTTCTCTGGGGTGAGATAGAAACTTACAGGACCTCTTAGGTTCTCTTCTTCACTGACCTCTAGTGGACTTCACGTGTCTGGCTTGGATGTCCCTGAGTTCCTAGCAGGGACTCAGGTCTGGTGTCCTTTTGTGTGTAGTGTGTCAGCAGCCCGAAACGGAGAATCGCGTGTCCCTGGGTGGGAAGGGATGCAGAATGGAGTAACCTGTACTTACCAAGAGCCTTTGTATCCCCCACCCCCGTGGAACAGCCCCATGCCCATGGACTTGGGTAGGAGGATTGCTCTTCCCTGGGCCGCCTTCTTAGCACAGTGGGGGTGTCTTTCCTGAGACACAGGTATGGACTTTGTCCCCTCGGTGTTCGTGGCAGGACCATGGAGCCTCTGGCCAGGGTGGGCTCCCCGTTCCGATGGTCGGGATGTGGCCGAGGCAGTTCAGAGAGCGGGTATCAGAGGCCCTGAGATCTCTGGGAGGCGCTGTGGTTAGCATGGGGTGGTGAGAGCAGAACCTGAGCACAGGCCTCCCAGGGCTTCCTGAAGGACCCACTTCTCGCTGTGCTTGGGCAAGAGAGGAGGCAGCGTCCTCCCGGGAACGCGGGCTGCCCCAGGTCCCTGCCCTCCGTGCAGCACCTGACCACTTGTTCCCAGCAGGGCTGCTTTTCTCTTAGGTTGAACGAAGCGTGGAGAGGCTCTCGGCTGATGCTGTGCTCATTTCCTGTCTGCACGTTTCCTTTTCCCTGCAGGCCTCTGGCTGTACCTGGCAGGGAGCAGCCTGCCCTGTCTCACGTTGATTGGCTCTCCTAATTTTGGGTACAGGTCGGTTCACCGGGACCTGGAGGCCCAGATCGCCATAGTGACGGAGAGCCGGGCCCTGCAGCAGCAACTTCACCAGGTTGGTTGGGACGATGGGATTTCCTGGGCAGAGTGGGGGGTAGCTGGGTGCTTAGCCTTGCCCGAGTCACCGTGTCCCCTGAACACAGTCCCTGCTGTCATCTCGAGTGTGAGAAAGAACCCGAGTCCTCACAAGCTTGCTGGTGGTCAGAAGGCCTGTCCCGAGAGAAGCCCGCCACAGGGCCGCCCTTAGAAGCCACGCGCCCTCCTTCCCTGCTTCCGCTGAGCTACTCCTGCCCCATGGTCCCAAGAGCTCCCTCTGGTGCGGGCAAGAGCGCTCTTCGCTCACCCGGACACTCCAGCCTCTAGCAAGAATGCAGTTCAGCCGTAGTGGCTGTGTGGGGGAGGAGCCAGGCTCACTCAGGCCCCGGGACCGCCAGCAGGACCTCCACAGGCCGGCCAGGAAGGCAGAACGGGCACTCAGGGTGTCAGCCGTCTCTGTCAGTAGAGACAGAAGAGGCAGACCTCAGACCTCAGGAAGCAGCCCGAGCGCCCGTCCAAGAGGGGCTTCGTGGAGAAGGGAGTAATTTCAAGGGCATGGGCAGCCCCGTCCTCCGTCTCTGAGCCGTAGAGTCTGTGTGCACCTGTCACCTGGATTCTGTCTCCCTCCACATTGTCTCCCTGTGGGGCGCTCTGGCTGGGGAATGGGCGCACTGGGGACAGTGCAGAGGGCCTGCGGGTGTGCCCGCCAGCAGCAGGGTTCCCTTGGGCGGTGTTTGCAGAGTCTGGAGGTGGGCGATGTGTGGGCGGGCAGAAACCCTTGGCTGCCTTGGCCCCTTACCCCTGGCCAGGGGACGGTGATCAGCAAAGCAGGTCCCTTTTTCCTTGGGGAGTTCCAGCGTCTTGGAGTTTCTTGTCCTCATGCTCACAGTTGTAATAGGGCTTCTGTCCTTCTGTCTTTCTGTCCATGAGGGGGAGAAGCAAGTGTTCTCCTGAGCGTGGGAGCTGGGGGCTCAGGAAACCTAACCCACTCTGGCTGGCTCAGCCTGTGGGGTGCATTGGCCATCGGGCGCAAGTGGCCAGTCCAGGACCCACCTGCTCCCCTTGGAAGATACAGGTCGGGCCCGTGTTCTCAGCCACTTGGAAGTGAGGAGAGCAGCCCTTTCTCGAGCTGGGGTTGGAGACCCTGAGCCCCGTACTGCTGGTTGGCTAACGGCCCAGAGAAGCAGGGGGAGAACCCCATTTCCTCACTGGGGCAGGGATGCAGGGTGGTTCCCAAAGGGTCAGCAGCTATGTCGGCCCTCCTTCTGTGGTAGAATATTTTATTTTCTGTCTAGAGAAAAACAAAGTTGCTGAGAATTTGTTAGTGCTTTTGTGGGACTGCGTGTGTGGTGGCCTGTGGGAGAGCGCGAGCCCCGTGCCGTGCACGTGAGAGTGGGGCGGTGCCGTGCACTCTTGTCTGTGACCTTTACAGCAAAGCCTTTCCATGGAGGGGGCCAGCTTCCCTCCTGAGTCACAGGAACACAGATAACGCTGCTGTGGGCCAGACCTCAGAAGCCTCGGCTGTTGACTTTGTGAAACTTGTATTCTCCAGTGTTTGGGAATGACTGTTGCGAAACTGTGGGAGCCTTTGTTGCTGGACAAGGGCACGGTAACTGCTTGTCCCTGGGACCTGCCTTCTACCGTCTGGGGACCCCGTCGGCGGCCCAGTGGGGCTGTGGTGCCGGGAAGGCCTTCACGACGAGGGGCCAGAGGAAGTGGCAGCGGTTGTGCTCTGGGTGGCCAGTGTGGAATCTGAGCCGCTCAGCAGGTTTCTTGCTAACGGGAGGCTTCCAGAAAATGAGGAAGCCTCACAGCTGAGGCTCCAGTTGGAGTCACTGATGCGAGAGGGGCAGGGCCGCACCCCAGTGGGGTCTGCTGGACTTCTGGACCAGTTGCACAGACGCCTCGGTCTGTGAGCCCCTGCCCTGGGGCAGTAGAGTTGTGGGTGTGAACTGGGCCTCAGGCCGGGACCAGTTCCCCAGAGATCTGGGTTGATTTGTGGGGGCAAGTCCCCCAGGCCTGTGCCCCAGGGTCCTGGTACTGGCCCCTCTCCCCGACCTCCTGAGTGAGGGGATTGAACCCACATCCTGGATCTGGAGAGAAGCTGGGCCGGTTGTGGTCAGGAGCTGTTTTCCCAAATGACATATTTGGGATATTTTCCTTTTCTTCCCAAACCTGAATCCCAGGGGCTTTAGATCGTGGGAGGGTGGCAGTTCAGTTCACGCCCCTGCAGCTCTTCCTTTCTTCCGAGGCACACTGATTTCTGTGCTTTTGAAATGCAGAAACACGTTTCTAGATAATTCCACCTATATACTTAGATGCAGGGACTGCAGCCCCCCACTCCTGCCAGGTGGCCCTACAGTGCCTGGTCCTGGGACTGCCTGGTCCTGGGACTGCCTGGCCACACAACCTCCCCACGGCCCAGAAAGTCCCTAGAACCCCGGCCACCCGTGTCCCTGCTCCCTGTCTTCTCGGGAAGATACAGGGAAGGGCCCTATTTGTATCGCACTGGGAATGGAGAGATATTTTTATCAGAATCCGAAACCCCTCCCCTCACTTAGTACGCACTATAAAAACTGAAAGCTTCCTGGTTTTGTTCAGAGAACACGGTTTACCACTTGTGACCTGAGAAAGACTCCCTCGAACAGCATTCTAACTTTGATCAGCTGACTTCCTTCTCCAGCCCTGTTGTGGGGTCTGTGAGGAACCTTAAGTGTTTCTGGTAATTTAATTGAAATCTTGGCTGCGTATTTGTTTGAAAGCATAAAGCTGGAGCTGGGTCTGTGGAGACTTCTGCAGGCTCGCCCTCCAGGCCCCCAGGCGCCGCCTCCGTCAGGCACGTCCAGCCAGGGACCGGGGCCCTTGCCGCTGGCAGCCAAGAGCCTGCTCAGCTTGGAAGTGCCGCATGGACCCTGGCTCCGAGAGAGTGGAGAGGGCATGAGCCTGAAAACCATGCAGAGAGAGTCGGGCTCCTGGGTCTGCCTGGACGGGAAAGCTGTGGACACTTCCCGCCGTGTCCTCTGACCCCGTTCTTGCTGGGTCATCCCTGCCCCCAGGGAAGAGCCCGTTCAGCTCCCCGGCTGGGTCCAGCAGCGTCATCCCAGTGCTCCCTCTGGTGCTCCTGGGCTCACAGCGGGCCCTGCTTTCAAGGCCATTCTGTCGGGTCCTCATGATAGTGCGGGCTAGTCGGTATTTTCCAGACCAACGGATGCAAGATCCAGAGTGATCGCCCTCTCAGCCCCAAGTGGTGGGGCCTAGTAGGATCACTTCCTGGCCACTTCGTCAAATACCTTACTAATGGGAACATGGGACTTGGAGGGTGTATTGTTTAAGAAAGTGTTTTCTCTTAAAGATTCTGAGCACAATTTAAGAGAAGGCGTATACAAGTGTTTCAAACCCATTTTTAAATATAAAATAAACATGCATTGTAAAAATTTAGAAAAATTGGAAGACGTCTGCCTCTGCTTTCAGCAGTGTCCCTGAAGTCACTCCAAGGACGCCCTCTCGTTCTTGGTGTGTGGAAAGGCGCGACCGGTCTTTTTAATGAAATTAGGATTATATTCTCTGTGTCGTCTTTTAGAACGCGATCAGCGTGCGGTGCATGCTGGTTCGTCACACGGGTTTATTATCTTTAATTAGTTGTGGTGGACATTTAGGTGGTTTCCAGTTTTTCCCTATCATAAACGTCGCTGTAACAGATGGCAGCACACAGATCTGGAGTGCGTGGCTTTCTTCTTGGGATATATTCTTGCAAGGGGTGTTTCTTAAGGCTTTGATACCTGTTGCCAAGCTGCTCTCTGGAAGATGCTGTGACCCCGTATCCAGCAGCAGAGCACACGGCCTCTGTCGGCTTGGGGTCACCGCAAGACAACAGCTTTTTGCCAACTTGAGAAAAGAGAAACCCTCCCATTTCAAGAACGTGTCTTTAAGTTGCACAGCCTTATTTAGTGAGGGTGATTGTGTGCTTTATTTCTGCCAGCTCTACTTCACTCCATGTCATCTGCTCCACACACATGTTGGTCTTAAAAGGGTAGGGATGCGCGGGCTTCTTAGCTTGCTCGCTAGGGCGGGTTTGACAGGGAGGCTCGTAGGCCGCCTCCCCTGCCTGGCACCCCAGCACCCCTGCGCCCCAGCCGGCTGGGGTGTCGGGGCCGACGGGCCATGTCACGCAGTGCTGTGGAGGACCCTAACGCCTGTTTGTTCCTCTCCCTCAGGAGCAGGAGCAGCTCTACTTGCGCTCAGGTGTGGTGTCATCTGCCACCTTTGAGCAGCCGAGTCGGCAGGTGAAGCTGTGGGTGAAGATGGTGACTCCGCTGATTAAGAACTTCTTCTGAGGATGACAGGTGCTGCCTTGCGAGGCCACGTGTGGGGCCGGGGCTTCTGTCTCTGGGGGGTGGTGGTTCCCAGGACCTCTGTCCCGCGGGTCACCATGGTTGTCACCAAAGTTTTCCAGGCCCGAAGCTAGATTGGGTGGCCCTGTCACCTCACACCAGCACTGCGGACCAGGCTGGCATCACTAAGCGGCAGCCAGGGCGGTGGGAGCAGGAGGAACGCTCGGTGGCAGGACATGCTCTGCCCACCTGGGAGGGGCCTGCCACTGGGGATGGAGGCTTCCGCCGAGTGCCCGGAGCCACCAGCTGGGGCCCGTGGTGGGACGCGAGCAAGGCGGACCCAGGCTGCTGCTTGGCTGTGCAGCTGCCGGTAGAGGTGGGGCCTCTCCCGAGGGACCCTGCCCACCCCCCGGATGGCCCCAGAGGGGACCCGTCTCTCGGCTCTGGGTGGGGATGTTGGGCAGCCAGCCCAGGTGCGGGGAAGGGGTGAACACGGTTCCACGGCGGGGGCTCCCTTGGGTGCTGGTGCCGGGCTTCTCTCATTAAAACAAAATCATATTTAATTTCGTCATTTAGTTTTTCCTCCATATTTTCATTACTTATTTTATTATTTTATTCAAATAATATACAAATTTAGAAATAAATGCTAGAGATCTGACACCGAGTAGCTGTGGTTCCTGCCTCTCTTGCCTCCCGAGCAGCCACTTTTGACTCTCTCTCCTGTTTCTTCTGACGTTTGCATGGTGGTCTGTATTTCTAGATAATATGTGTATATTGCCACCCCCCCAAATACAAAGTCTCATAAAAAACCCCACCCCAAACCTTGTACCAGTATTACACCTGACTGAAACATGAGCAAGAATACCTTAGTGTCATCAAATACCCTGAATGTGTTCACAGTTTCAGTTTGCCTTATATTTTTTATTTTATTAAAATTTTTCTGTGTGTTTGACTTGAGGTTGCGGGTAAGGTCCGGTATGATATGGTGACATGTCACCTAAGTCTCTTTTCATCTGTGGGTTTCCCTCATTTTTTTTTTCTTTGCAAATTTTTTGTTGAAGAATGAACCTCATTTTTATTGCATCTGCCTAAAACATGGTTTGTGTCACCTCACAGCAGGGTATCTTCAAAACACGTAGCGTGTAGATTTGTCACAGGCCAGGGTGCCCCCCTCTCCCCCTCACTGCCCTATGTCTCCAGGAGCAGATTTCAAAACCTTGCTGCCCAATCTCTACATCTCCAGGTGCTTGAACCTTGCACAAAGACCTTCCTAAGAGAAGGCCTTCGGGCCCCAGGGTATGGCTGCTCATCCTTTGTCAGGGCGGGTTGCTTTCCACCCTGCACGTTGCCCCAGAAGCCGCTTCACGTGGCTCCCTCCCGAGGACTGGCTGCTGCCGATGGTCCCCTTCGTGGGCTCTGGAAGGCGTGATTGGCCTCGTCCACACAGCCTGGCTGTGTGTGTGGCGCTCTCCAGTGCTGGGAGCCTCGACGAAGGCTGAGAGCATGTGCAGCTCCTCCCCGCCAGGGCCGGCAGATCTGCAGGGTTTAGTGGGTGGGAAGCGGGTGGAGTGGTGGCCGTGGCTACACTGCTCCGGGGCAGCAGCACGTCCATTAACACTGTTTGCCTTCAAACTAGTTACTAAATTGTCCTGTGGGACAATTAGACTAGAGAAGCCAAAAGAATGTGCCAGGGCACTGGGTTTGTTTGGAGAGAGGCTTTCGGTAAACAGCATTCACATTCCTGCAGATTCTGTGGGACCAGAGTCAACATTGTGCCACAGCCCGGCTTGAGCAATCAGGGCCTGTGTCCTCCATGCTCAGCTGCTCCCTTTGTCTCTGCTAACCACCTCAAGCCGGCCCCGGCCCTCCCGCCGGGTGCTCCCTCCGGCCCCCCAGGAGGCAGGGCCTCCAGGTCCCACAGCACCTGCGGAGGCACCATCCCTGGGTCCCTGTCACTGGATGGCGACCCAAAGGTGAATCATCTCTTGGAAAGTTGGGAGGTCATTTTGTCAGCTAACCACAGTACGTGTGGAAGAAATTGCTGTTTTATTTCAGGCTCTACAGGCAAAATTGCAAAACCTTCCCATTTTGTGGTTATTACCAGGGATTAAAACTGAGTTGCCTGGTGGCTGCTGGTAGTTGTCTAGTCCCAGGAGTGGCGGCCGCTCCGCTGGCTCTCCGGCTGGGACACGAAGGGCAGCAGCGACCCCTCCTGGCCGGCAGAGGGGCTGCCCAGCAAGCGCTGTGGGAGCTCCGCCTTCCTGCAGGGCAGCCCCAAAGGGCTTGGACTCTCAGCCACCACCCCCGAGTATGGGAGGGGCGTTTTTCCTTCTCTTTTTTTGAGTCCCACCAGGCCCCAGGACTGTTGAGATTGTTACCTTAGGTGGAGTCTCCTCTCTTGCGGTACCAGTGAGACTACTTGGAAAAAAGTTCTCACAGAACTTCAGGATCAGATTGAACTTAGCCCGAGGCCAGATGCTCCTGGAGGGCCTCCTGTGCTCTGTATGTGAGCCCGAGAACATCAGGGGTGTCAGGCTTCCGCGGGGGTTTGCGGGCTCTGCTAGCTGCCTTCCCTGTGCTCCCCAGCGTTCTGGCTCCTCCCTCCCTCCCCTTGTGTGCGCTGCCGGCCCGGCCAGCCCTGAATGGCAGCCCACTCACTTGGCTGGAATGGCCGCGGAAAGTCAGGGCCTGAGGCGTCAGCCAGGTCATCCCAGGGTAGCCCTGGGACCAGCACGTGCCGGCCCCCGGGTGCAGCGGGCTGTGTGTGCTTGGGGTGCTTTTCCTCATCAGACTGGTGGTTTTCCTTAGTCCTGTCTCCCTGGACAGGTTCCGGGGCCCAGAACACAGAGACGCAGAGGGCGGGGGTGTCGGCCTTCCCGTGCTCGCTGCAGCGCATGTCCCCCGGGGAAGTCAGGATCCCCGGCTGCTGGGCACTGGCCCTCTGGTGCTGGCACTGCCCATGCCCCAGCTCGCCCGGCCGCAGTCGGGGTGTGGCGGGGGACACCCCGGGATGTGGGGACCGCAGGGGCGGGAGGAAAGGAAGGTGCTGTGCCTCCTGAAAAGGGACCCACGGCCTCCTGGAGTTATTGTGGACATGACAAGCCTGTGACCTCCAAGGACACACGTTAAGGTGGTCCCAGGAACCGAGTTCGTAATGTTCTCTGTGCACGCTCAGAAAGTGGGCTGTTGAAAGTACAAAGTTGCCTCTGGACTGGCGTGTCTCAGCTCCTGGGACCTGGGAGGGAGGAGGCTTTGTCTGAATCAGGAAAGGTTCTCTGTCCTTGGGAGAAGGGAACAACGCCTCAGGGGACTGTGTGGAGGTGGCAGTTCCTGCTGGTATGGATGCCCTGGCCCCTCACTGGTGGGTTGCTTGCGTGGTGCATCAGGCCAGAGGCCATGGCTGCTGTGCCCACACCTCTGAGCTGCTTGTGGGCCGGCAGGGTTTGGGGGCTGGGCTCCTGGGGGGCTCGCCTCAGCAGCAGGAACAGGGGAGTCCCCCAGATCCAGTGAGTCAGACAAGCGCAACTTAGTGACTTCTGTTTTAATCCGGCCCGCACCCCCTCTTGAGCGCCGCCCCCACCCTCTGGCCCATCCACCTTGATGTCCTTCTAAAGTGTCTGGGTTACTTAGAACAAAAGGCAACTGTCAGTTCCTATAAAAATAAGTAACAGTTGCAGGGCTGAGTTTCTGATTGTCAACCTGGCACCAGCTGCGCTAGACCTGTAAGAGCAGGGCCGCGCCTGCCAGGATCCACTTGGCTGCCTTCTCTTTGGTCTTGAGGTTAAAGGTCCAGACGTAGGTGGGGCCGCGGATGCGTGTTTTGTACACAGGACACTCATAGATGTTCTTGGTGTCCATGCGGTCCACAGGAATGGCCTTGATGAAGATGACGGGCATGGCTGGCGTCAGTTCCTTCAGCCTGGCTTCAGCGATGACTCCAGTCTGGGTGTCCCAGCGAGCGCCTGCAGGACAGCACGGCGAGGTCAGGGTGGCTCCGTGGGGCTGTGCCTGGGTGCTGTGTGGTGTGCCGGCAGCGAGCCGGGCCGGGGGGGGGGGGCGGGTGCCAGGGGGTAGACTGGCGCAGGCTCGGCTGAAGGTGGGGCTCTGAGCAGAGGACCGGGCAGGAGTGCTGGGCATGCCGGGACCCCCGGGACCCCGCCAGGCGCCTCAGAGGGATAGCTCTGCCTCAAGCTCTCGGGGCCACCCGTTTACATGGGTGGTGTTTTCAGAACTGCCGTCAGCCTTCTCAGCCTCAGTGGAAGGAAGTGGTGGCTGCAGCTGGAAGTCCCAGGAGGTCACATGTGCATTGTCCAGCCTGCGTGTGCATGCGCGGGGCACGCAGTCATAGGTGCACACGCACACGGACCTTTGATTTGCCTTTGACCAGACTGCTGTCGTTTTTACTCACCCTGTTAATGGTGTTCGTGTTCCTGTCATTGCAAAATAAACACGGAGAGCGGCCTCTGCCGTGCTTGTCTCTGACATGGGGGTCGGGGAGCCCTGAGCCTTTGCGGGCTAAACCCTGACACCCCCACGGGTAAGGGGGTGGCGTCGGTTGCTGAGTGGGACAGTTTGTGGTGGAAAAAGCTGCCTCTCAGCTCGACAGGTCTAAGGGACCAGGCTGCCTGGTGGCCCTGAGGCCTCCGCCGGCACAGGACAAGGGGGGTGGGGGCGGCTGGCGCCCTCCCTGCTGCTGCTTGGCCCGGCCACGGGGGGGGGGGGGGGGGGGGGGGGGGGGGGGGGGGGGGGTGGGGCCCCCAACCGTCCGTCTGCCCTGGGCTCCCTGCCCCCAGGCCCTCCGAGAGGGCCATGTTCCTCCTCACTGCCCTAAAGCAGGTGCTCGCACCTAGGGACGCGCCTGCCGTTTCCGGCCAAGCAGAGCCAGGCTGGCCGCCCTGTGCGGCAGGTTTGGTCTCCGGGCGTTGTCTGAGCGCGTTCTCAGCCTCGCGCCACCGTCTCCCCCAGAGTCCAGCTCCCAGCTGACACGCCCCTTCCGCGCGCCTCCCCCACCTGCCCCCTCCCAGCTGGTCTCTGCCCTCCAGCCCAGCGGGACTGGCTCTGGAAGCTGCCTCAGACCGGAACCCTCAGTACCTTCCATGAAGAGCCCGTACACATAGGAGCCCTCTCGGGGTGGTGCCGTCATGTCCTCCCGGTACTTCTTGGTTACTTCCACAGACAGACACATCTTGTCCAGCGGCCACTCATTCTTCCTGGCCATGGACTGCATGATGGCCGTGAGGAAGGACTGGGGGTTGAAGAAGCCCGCCAGCCACACGGTGGTGGGCAGGGTGAAGTCTGTCGTCCAGGCCTCGAGCTCCTGGCGGAAACGTGCTTCAGCAGAGCCCGGTGCCCGCGGGCTCCAGTTTAAATGAGGGAACGGGAGGAGGAGGGTCTGGAGAGGGGCTTCACATCTGAGGACAGTTTGGGGTCCCAAAGGAGGCTTTGACAAGGCGGTTCCCTGGATGGTGCCCCTGGGGCTTTGGGCTCTGGTGCAGAGGGCTGTCGGGCCGCTGTTCCCTCCCTTTTGCAGGAAGCGCCTGCATTGTCAGGCGTCTGTGTAGCCTGGGCCAGGCCCTTCCGGCCCTGCTCTGACAAAGGCCAGGCCAGTGGGGGCCTCTAGGCCTCTGGCAGGGACACGCTCCCCCTTCATAGCCACGGTCCTGCCGGCCCTGGGGGGTGGGGGGTGTGCTGGGACCCCCGGGGAGACTGTCCTCACCCTGATGCGGAGCAACAGGTCGGTGTACCAGGCCGCCAGGCCCATCATGGAGGGGTAGGCCCGGGCCACCCACGGGTCGGGCACGGTGTCGTAGAACAGCGCCGTGGACAGGTCTTCCATGTCGGTCGTGATGGTCAGTTCCCCCTAGGAGACATACGGATGGGGCGCTGGCGGCCCAGGCTGTGCCGCTCACAGGCACGCGGACCTGGCCAGTCCCATGCCTTGTTTCTCCCGCCCCATCCGTGCCGTGAGTCCTCAAAAGTAGTTTGACACAGACCCTGGGTGAGCGCCCCCCGGCTTGACGGGCCTGCAGCTCCGGACCGGGGAACCCAGAGGAGGCAGTACTGCGACAATGCCCAGGGCCTGGGGCTCTGTGCTCTGCAGCTGAGGTGGGGAGTCAGCTTGTGGCGGCCCGCCTACCTCCTAAGTCTTGTCCCTGGGTCCTGGCTGACCTGGGTGGTGTTACCTTCAGCCCCAGGCTCAGCTCCTTCAGCGAGCGGCGCATCTCATTGGTGAGGATGTTCATTCTTTCACATTCCTGGAAGGCGACCACCACGTAGGGGGTCTTCTCAGCCACCTTCGCCATGATCTCGGCCATGTTGAACATCTCCGGGATCTTCTCCAGGATCTCCTCCAGCACGGCCTTCACCTGGAAGTCAGTCCCCGACAAGCCCCGTCACCGCATGTGCCTGCCAGCCCACCCCCAGCGTCAAGGGTCGGGGAGACTGTGTCGGACGTTCACAGCGAGGGCTCCTGGAGCAAAGGGAAGTGGAGTTGCCTGAGAACCAGGGTCCCGGAGGTGCAGCTGCACGTCTGACAAGAGGAGGAGATCTTGGCCAACAGGCTTTGAATATGCTGGTCATCAAAGCCATGGGACTGTAGCCGTGGGAGCTGCAGACATTCCCAAATGAACAGCTTCCTCCCCCATCAGACCAGCTGGTACCCATAGGACTGTGACCTACGAGTCCCCGTGGGGGCTTCTGTGGGGGCCATGCTGATCACACCCTCTCCAGGAGTGGCCCCCACGGCTTGTCTACACCACTGCCGTCAGAAGTCTCATTCCAGTTGTTAGACCAAGAAAGGGCCGTGAGGCCTCACAGCACTGAGGGTCTTCTGGTCCACAATCTGGTCTATTACCAGTAAGCCCAATCTTCAGCTGGCTGTTAACAGACCTTGTCCAGAATTTACTGAACAGTGTAAAGGTGTTAATTGCTCACTAGACGGCAGAGGTAACCCAGGCAACTGAGAACAGGTTAAAAGCTCTTAATGCTGAAGGTTTTTTTGCTTCTTTCCAGTATTAAATGGGATGAGCCCCCCGGGGGTCTTCTAAGCTCACGGGGAGGGGCTGTTCTGATGCCTCTGGGCTGCTGGGTAGGAGCCCCCCCCCCCCCTTGCTGCTTACACACCAGCTGGGCCAAGTTAGAGGCTGCAGGGAGGGAGGATTGGGGGTGGGGGAACGGCCCCTGGGCAGCACCCCTGGGCCTGTTAGCCAGCTCACGCTCCACCCCGGTTTCTGGGGGTGCACTTTTCGACCCCAGGTTCCAGGCCCTGCCCTTTGGCCCTGGGCTGTGTGTTAAGTCTCCTGCCTTCTCCTCACGAGATACTCCAGTGCCTGCTCCTGAGTTGGTCTCTTTGGGCTGCATTTCCAGGACGGTGCGGAACAGTTTCTCTGACGTGACTGTCAAGAAGCCAATCTCTGCATTGGGGTGCAGGCCATACAGGTAGGGACTCTCGGGGGGCAGGTTCTCATTGATGTACTCGTGGTAACCCTGAGAAGGGGTGGTGGGTGAGCAGGCTGCCAAGGTAAAGCCGTGCAAGCTGGAACCCGTGTCCGCCGATCAAGTGTTTCTGACCGGGATGTTCCACCCCCGTCTTGCCGTCTGCACGAACCCCCACAGTTCTCGTTATAACCCCCTTTCTGGCTGCCCCACCCCTCACCCCCCAGCCACATGAACCATCTCCACGCCCCCTCCTCCCCAGAGGCTGTTTCAAGCCAGCTCTCATTTTCATTGCCTGGCTTCTTGCTCAATCGCAGATACTCCGTTTGCAACGCCAGGCTGGCCCCAGAGCTGGCCGGGCCAGCATCACCCTTGGCTGCTGTCACATCACGGGGCGAGCTCGTGTCCCCGAGAGAGAGCCCCCCGCTCACCTTGTAATCCAGGTTGGGGGGGATCTGAAAGCCCGGCGCCAGCAGGATCTCGCCCTCTAGCATCTCTGCCCGCACGTACTCCGCCAGGTACGTCCTGCACAGCCGCCGGTCCCAGTCATCCGTGACGTGGCCGCCGTACATGATTTCTCCAAACAGGTAGCGGAGGTCGTCCCAGGGCACCTTAGGAAGGACGGAAGTGGTTAGAAGTGCCCCCGCCCCTTCGGGGTCTGACTCGGCCGTCAGCCCCTCTTTGGCCATCTCCTGCCTTTGGCTCCTTTGGCGAGGACTGCCTGGCTGTTCCCTCCACCTGAGGCCTGGCCCCTGCCCTGACTGTGACTGCCGGCTGTGTGCTGGGACCTCCAGCTCCACAGGCCCACCCTGCAGCCGCCATTCGCTCCCTCTCGTGGGCCTCCCGTGTCACCCCCGCTCGGAGACACGCAGCCACCCGTGACTCTGTGCGCTGGCCGCCTGACCGGAGTGGTTTCACTCTGCGGTGACTGGGGGTGTCCACTCTTGGGTGCCATTTCTTTTGGCCACAGAGTCCTGTCAGTCACACCTTTATGACGTCTCCGTCCGGTGGCCTGCCTCGCAGTCCCGCTGAGCTTGCCTGGCTCCGAGTTCCCGGTGGCTCCCTGTAGCTGCGCACCCCGCAGGGCTGCGTAGACGGGTAGCACAGCGCCCAGAGCGTGGCTGCCTGACCTCGCAGGCAGCGCGGGCCGCCGCTCCCCGCCACCACCTTGTGAAGCCTGCTCACGTGCTGCCTCCTCCGAGAAGCCGGGGGTTGGGCTCGGCTGCCCGGTCCCCGCACGGTGCCGTCCAACCGGAGCGGCGCGGGGGCCGCAGACAGCAGTCACGTATGCAATTCCAAGTTTGCGAGCAGCCGTGTAAGTAAGAAGATTGTTACAGCAGATGGTCGGCACAAAAACAACGAATCGATACGTTATTTTACACTCTCACCTGCACCACGCTTTTGCCATCCGGTGTGGGTCTCACGCAGTTTGGACGCCACGTGCCCGCGGTTCATCCCGCCACTGCCCCGGGCAGCGCAGGCGGGCGGCCTCCTGACACAGTTTATCGAGTAAAGAACTCGTGCACTCATCAGATGCCTGATTCAGTCTCGTGAATTTCACTCAAAATGTTAATATTCTCTTAAGTGTCATTTTGTGACTTAAAGTTTTTTCTCTGCCTGGTTATCTTGGGTACGTGTTGAGCTGCTTTTTCTGTGTTTTACTTGTTTGCTTTGGGGACAGCTGGCTTCCTCAGGCCTCTCTGACGCCCTGGGCCCCGGGGGCTTCCTCCCAGGGACGCCCTTCCCTGCGGGGTGGGGGCTGTGGCACTAAGCCGGGACGGACACCACCCACCCGTGTTCCCACTCGTGCCGATGGAGTCCCGGAGCGCTCGTCAGAGACAGGGCACCTGGCCTTCCCCTGAGAGTCTGCGTGAGTTGGTCTGTGTTCTTAATGCTCTGGACCACGTCCTCTGGTCACTTAACGTTGTTGAAGGCTGTGAGCTCGGGCAGAGGAGGGGTCATGCCACCACGAGCCTGGTGCGCCCGGCCTGACCGGTCACTGCTCAGCAGGACGGGCGTTCCTGTGTCATTCACTCCTGTCTGGGGGTCGCTGAAGCTCATGGCATGTGTTCTCGAGGTGTTTCCTCCCCACCTCGGTTTCTGTGTGTGTGTGAATAATGGGGCAGGTGTCTGAATAAACGTCTTCAAAAAACTCGAGCACTGTTCCTCCCATGCCAGTCTCCCCAGAAAACATCTCTTAGCCAAACTGCTCCTTCACGGCCGCTCCCCAGCATCTACTTCTTGGCGAGAGCTGGAAGGTAGCTGCGAGGGTTCAGCTCTGCTCCAGGTGAAGCGGACCGCCAGCCCTCCAGCCCCGCCACCTGCAGGTGGAGACCAGCTCCCTTCTTGGGGATAGCTGCCTGCTGGCCCCTTCGGCCCTCCTGTCTCCGGGCATGGGTTTTGCCAGGAACCAAGCCGGTGAGCCACGTGCTGGGCTCAGACTTGGGTGATGGCAGCGCGGGGAGGCCGCCCTGCGGGGTCGCGGCCGGGGGAACGATGGTGTTTGTCCTCAGAGGTTGTCAGACCTTCGGCCACCCGCGGGGAAGGGTATGCGAGGCTGTGGTTGCCGTCCTGCCCTGGCCCTGGCCTCCCTCGCCTCCACCCACATCTTGAGCTTTTTACAGTCGAGTGGGAAACAGGCGGGTGTCCCGAGACCAGCACCCCAGGCCTAGCGGGGCACTTTTCTCACCCAACCCCCAGAGCTTGAGCCCCAGTGTCCAGGAGGTCTCAGCTGGTGAGAGGCAGCGCTGGACTTCAAGCCTGGGGCCCTGGACCCCAGCGCCGTCTGCCACCATGCCGCCAGGGTGTTGGGAGGGGCACTGCCTGGTCCCACTGTCTGGCCCTCCCGCCACTGCCCAGCCTGCTTGGTGTCACTGGCGCTGTGCCGCGGTCCTGTCGCTGCTGATTCGGGGCCAGTGAGGAGGACCTGAGGCTTCTGGGGGGCGTGGGCACCTGCCTCCCCTGGGGGGTCACAGCAGCTGTGCTGTGTCCGTGCCGGGCTCTCCGGGAGTCAGACTCCGAGGGGGACCAGGCGAGGCCCCTCTCAGTCTGCGGGCTTCTCCGTCCTCCGAGGCCGTCTGCAGAGCACCTCACACGTGTTATCTCCGCCATCAGGAAAATCAGAGCAGCACTCGTGTGTTCCAGGGAGATCGTTTTGGCCTTCCCTCTGGACCCGGGTTCTGTCTGCGGACGCTGCCCATGCACCAGGGAAGCCCCTCCTTGTCCCTGCCCCCCAGGATTTCTGGGCAGGCCCACCAGAGATGCCTGCCCCCGTGGAGTGTGCTACCAAGGGGAAGAATTGCCAGACGGCTGACAAGTGCCGCAGGGCTGGTGGCCAGGGACAGGGCGACACTCATCGTATCCGCCTGCTGGGTGGGGTCTCGGGGCTTCTTGTTTTCAGGTTTTGTTTGGGTTACAACACTATGGGATGTGTCCTGAGCATGAGCCACTGCACAGTTGACGGGGGGTGGTTGGGGGCGCGGAGAACGCTGCTGGGCACCAGGCGCACCCTTACCTTGGTGTTGGCCTCCAGGTAGTTGTAGAGCACGTTGATGGAGATGGTGAGGTCCCCGTTGTTGAAGGGGTACGACCTGTTCCAGCCCTGGGCCCCAAACTTGCGCCTCTCGGCCACCACGGCGTGGAAGTAGCACAGGGCGAAGAGGATGCACTTGAACTCGATCTCCTTGGTGCACATCTCCAGGGTGTCCTGTGGGAGGGGACCCGAGTCCTGCCTCTGCCAGCTGTCTTGCTGGGGGCGGGAGGGGCAGGGTCCGGGGGGGCAGCTGCCGGAGCCCCCGGTCCACGGACTGGAGGAGAGAATGCTTTCTTGTCTTTATTTCTTTCAGAAATGGCAGTTCTATCACTTAAGTATTGATTACAAGTCAAATTACGCTGCGTTCTAATAAAATATTCGCAAACACAGGACATTTCAGGACTTCTTTAACGAGAAGTACTGTCCCTTGGCAGCAGTCGGCACCCCTCGCGGCGCGCACACAAACAGAAGCCCAGACTCTTTAGAAACGATGGTGAGCTGTTCATTCTCAGCACAATGTGCTCCACGAGTAGTCTTTGTAGGTGTTACCAGACAGTAGGGGTGTCTTCCTTAAAAAGGTTTTAGACTCCACGTGGGAGATAAGTGTGTGCACCCAGAAGGTTCTGGTGCAGGACAGAAGATCAGGTGCCAAGAGATGAACGTAGATGCTAGGGTCTTGCAGAAGGGGGCAGGGCTGGGGGGTGGGGCAGGAGGTTTGGACGGGGAGGGAGGGGCCGTGGGAGCTGTCCCACTGAAGCAAGGTGGGGGCCTGCTGGGGATTGAGGGAGGCCTGGCAGCAGCCTGAGCCAACCAGGAGCATCTCCTTCTGTCTCCCGAGGAGCCAGAGAGGGGGCCGAGATGCACTGGAGCCCAGCACACCGCCCTCCCGAGCTGGGCCCCTTCCTGAGGGGCTCTGACAAGCCCAGGACCTGCGATGCATTGACCTGTGCCGACTCGCAGGTCATGAAACTGTCTTTAAAGCTGTAACTTGACTGCATCTCACACTATGTACATTTTACTTAGTCTTCCAGGAATATATTGATTTTGTGGCGTGAGGTGTGTGTGTGTGTGTGTGTGTGCGTGTGTGTGCGTGTGCTGGGGATGGCGTGGAGCGGCGAGAACCAGGGTGGAGCCGTCCTCGGAGTTCAGAGCCTGCTCCCCGGCAGTGCAGGCCAGAGCTGCCTTCCTGTCTGTGGGACCCGTGCGCTGGAGGGGAAGCCGCCTCACCTGGGTGAAGAGGTCCAGAGCCTTGTGCAGGTTGGCGTGCATGCCCGTGGGTGGCTCATTGGTGATTTTGATGGCGTTCTCCAGGATGCCCTGGGGGATGATGTGGGACTCGGGGCTGGGGGCGGGCTCGGCGCTGATGAACACGCGGTAGTCCTCGTGGCTGCCCGCGCCGGAGCGCTCCACCTTCTTATCCAGGGTGCCCAGCCACCGCGCCACAAGGTGGATGTTCTGTGGCCAAGCCCGGGGCTTAGCACCCCTGCGTCCCTACCACACGTCCCTCCAAGCAGTGCCCGCTGTCCGCCCTTCCCCGGGCCCAGGTGCGCCAGCCAATTTCTGCTGAGGCCTGGGAGTCAGTATTCGTGCTCGGAGAATTCAAGACCTCCAGCCTCCTGGCGAGCCCTCCCCGGCCTCCCCGGGCATAAGGCTGACATGATGTGGTCCCCATCCCTGCTTTGAGGTTTGGGTAGAAGGAATGGCATGAAGCTGGGGTCTCCACTCGGGACCAGGCTAGGCCATGCCGACCGAGGTCGGCTCACCCTGTGCAGGCTGGGCGGGACTGCAGGTGCTCCTTGGGGTTCAGGAGAGGGCTCGGAGAGGCTGCAGGGGCCCCTGGTGCTTCCCCCGAGCAAGGACGAGGAGGCGGAGGAGGAGGAATGGAGCTTTTGTCCACTGGAGTTTGGGCTTTATAAGCAACACCTCTGTAGGGAAACTCTGGCCTAAAGCCCAGTGTCCTCTCACTGAGGAAGGTGGTGGTGACGGCCGCACCACCCCATGGACCAGGCAGAGGGGACGTGGTGTGGGAGCCACCTGCCCCTCCTGCGGGTGCGAGTGCGGGCACCCCCGTACCTGAAGAATGACCCAGTGTCCCATCTCTGCAGCCGTGTCCAGAGCGTCCTCAGCCACCACCTCCTGCCCCTGCCCCAGGGACACGTTATGCAGTTTCCCGTTGTCTATGGTAAATCCCAGCTTTTTCCCTGAAGGAAAGAGAACAGGAAGTGCGTGGGGGCGGCTCTGCCATCCTGCCGGAAATCCCGCCCCTCCCCGCTTTGTGCTCTTGTAAGAAGCACATCAGATTTGCCAATTTCAAACCCATCTTCAAGTGTACAGTTCAGTGACATTTAATACATTCACAGTGTTGTGCAGCCATTCTTCTGGTTCCAGCACTCCATCCCGCCCCCCCAATCAGGAAGCCCTACCCCCACCCCGCCCCCGCCCCTGGCAGCCGCTCAGCTGCTCGTGTCTCTGTGGATCTACCTATTTTGGATGCTTCCGATACACAGAACCCTAGAACAAGGGGGCCTTTGTGTCTGGCTGGGATTCCTCTTGGCACAGTGTTTTCAAGGTGTGTCCGTGTGGCAGTGCCTGTTGGCACCTCATTTTGGTGGCTGAGTACTGTCCCATCACGTGGCTTCGCCACGTTGGGATTCTCCACTCAACAGTTGATGGACATTGGCTTTCATCTGCCTTTTGCCTATGGTGAGTGATCAGCCCTATGGAGTATGCGCTTAAACACCTGTTTTCATTTTCGGGGTGTGCACCAGCCGTGGGATCGCTGGGTCCCACGGCGCCTGCCTGTGTCCCCTGCCAAGGAAGCACCGGCCTGCTTTCCGCACCGCTGTGCCTCCTCCTGGGCCCGCGGGAGGCTCATCTCTCTCCCAGGCTCATCGGTTTCTGTTTCCTCACCGGGGTGCAGGGGCACCTCGCTGTGGCTCTGATGCGCATTTCCTGGTGGCCGCCCCTCTCTGAGGCCTCCCTGGCCGGCTCCACTTACCCAGGGCTTCCACGTCTTTGAGGGGGTCAACGCCTGGGGAAAGGATGAAGAAAATCGGAGTAGAAGGGCTGCTC